TGGGTTTCGCACATTGTACCCATTTCGGGAATCGAACCCGTGTCTTCGGCGTGACGAGCGAACGCTTTAACCACCAGGCTACCCGACCGCCCTCACTGACAACAGAGGTGGGTTGATTTTTAACTTCCTTATTGTATTTAAATGAGACGTTTTAGAGAGCGCTAGCAAACTTTATCAAGTACGTGATCAACAACTGAAAATTAACAACAAAAACTGTCATCAGTTGTCAATCCGTTCATCGTTTTTGTCAATCTGTTTGAGAGTGTAATTATAGCCTTGAAATAAAGGCTAGATAGGTAGCGTGGGTTGTATACTCCCTAGGGAGTTGAGAATGCATATCGAGTGCACACTGATCTATTAACCGGGGTAATAAAAATGCAGCGCCCTGAGCATTCACTTGAATGGAATCTGGCATTAAATTGACATTATTATTATTATTGTCATCATCAGTAGTAGTAGTAAAAGTTGAAGTAGTAGTAATAGCTGGAATATTGACGAGTGCGGCGTAAAACAACAATCAATCACGCACCTCACGCCATGGCATGATTATCGCGTTGTTTAGACAAGAACATGTTATAGATATCGATAGAAACTATCTCAGTTGGTACGTCACGTGAAAATTGTCGGTCCTGAAAAAGAAACCACCTGTCCTATGTTTCACATTTCCCAAGCATCGTCGTCCATGCTTCACGTTACATATGCAGGTGTCGTCATATCGTAGACACAAGTTTCAAAACAAACATAAATTTAAGCCATAAAAGAACCTACCGAATGACCTCTTTCTTCCGCTGAAAGTATTACCAAGAGTATATCAAAGTTTGATTAGACCTTCACAATTAGACCGCAAGTCCGCCTCGCCCCGGCCGCTCGCTTCTATCGAGTTTAAGTGAACTAATGGTGGTCACATGACTTGACATGTGAATCAAGATGGCGGGGGTCAATTTATTGCAATGTGAATCATGGTGGCGACCTAGCTTGTGTAATCAGTTCGTATCCGACTCGTGCTATTCCGGGACAGGTCGAAGGACACTTTAGATAGGTCACGGAAAGGGGTGAGTGAGACCAAGGGACCTTTTTGTAGGGTACGTGACCCCCTGCCTCTAAGTAAAAGGTTTGAGCGGCACAATCGACGTATATAAGTTAAGAGGGGGATACGCGCGGACGTCTTTCCAATAAACATAAGTTTAAGCCATAAAACAACCTACCTAATGACCTCTTCCTTCCGCTGAATGTATGACCAAGAGTAGATAAAAGCTTGATAAGGCCTTCACATGTTGGACATTGAGACAACCATTACACGCCAGCACAAGTGAACTAATGTTGGTCATATGACTTGATATGTGAATCAAGACGGCGGGGTTAGTTTTGGTCAGACGACATTCGTGACCAATTCGTGTTATCTGGGGACAAACCGAATAGCAACTCGTGGCCCTCTCATGGCCATTTTTGCGACCGGGTTCCGTCTTAGCGCAAACGGGCATACCTAAAACAATTGACAACTCGTTGCGTAATGGTTCACATATATTTCCACATATATTATGTATATTTCAGATGCAATTTAAAGCACATCGGGGCGTGCGGAATTATACTATATGATTGAACACATTTAACCTGTCTTTGGTATATTTTTAGATGCAAGACATATGTAAAAAAATTATTTCCGAAGGATTCTTTGACGAAGAACTTAAATCATACGCGCATTTTGATTGGTTTGTCGTATTTTCGCATACAACTTTCATCGATAGTTGGACGAGTCTTCTGGGTCACACGAGAAGACATGTGAATCAAGATGGCGGAGTTGGAGTTAAAATATTGCAATGTGAAACGAGGTGGCAACGTTATGCCATCATTTCGTGACCACTTCGTGCTATTCCGGGACAGGCCGATGGAACGTTTTTGGTGGTCACGGGAGTGAGTAAGTGAGTCACGGAAAGGAGTGAGTGGTTTGCGCAATATATTTCTTTAAAACTCTATTTATCCAAAATTGTTAGCCCTTTAATCCTCAGCGCTATCTATAAATTTCCATTAACACCTCGCTACGTCACCGGATCTTACAAATGTACATGTACGCGGGTCATTGACCTTGCACCACGCTAGTGTTACTTCTGGGTGATTGTTACTTCTGGGTGATTGTTACTTCTTGGTGATTGTTACTTCTGGGTGATTGTTACTTCTAGGTGATTGTTACTTCTAGGTGATTGTTACTTCTAGGTGATTGTTACTTCTGGGTGATTGGTGCTTCTGGGTGATTGTTACTTCTTGGTGATTGTTACTTCTTGGTGATTGTTACTTCTAGGTGATTGTTACTTCTGGGTGATTGTTACTTCTTGGGGATTGGTACTTCTTGGTGATTGGTACTTCTTGGTGATTGATACTTCTGGGCAACTGGTACTTCTTGGTGATTGTTACTTCTGGGTGATTGCTACTTCTAGGTGACTGATACTTCTTGGTGATTGTTACTTCTTAGTGATTGTTACTTCTGAGTGATTGTTACTTTTTGGTGATTGTTACTTCTAGGTGATTGTTGATTCTGGGTGATTGTTTCTTCTAGGTGATTGTTACTTCTAGGTGATTGTTACTTCTAGGTGATTGTTACTTCTGGGTGATTGTTACTTCTAGGTGATTGTTACTTCTAGGTGATTGTTACTTCTGGGTGATTGTTACTTCTAGGTGATTGTTACTTCTAGGTGATTGTTACTTCTGGGTGATTGGTACTTCTAGGTGATTGTTACTTCTAGGTGATTGTTACTTCTAGGTGATTGTTACTTCTGGGTGATTGTTACTTCTAGGTGATTGTTACTTCTAGGTGATTGTTACTTCTGGGTGATTGTTACTTCTAGGTGATTGTTACTTCTAGGTGATTGTTACTTCTGGGTGATTGTTACTTCTAGGTGATTGTTACTTCTAGGTGATTGGTACTTCTAGGTGATTGGTACTTCTGGGTGATTGGTACTTCCTGGTGACTGGTACTTCTTGGTGCGTCGCTGGCCTATGGCTGTTACTTATTGGGTGGGTCACCGTCACATAAAAACTGACGCTAGGGGGTCGGTATACATAAGTATTAAGTTTCAGTGTAAGTCGAGTCTTTATACACGGAGAGTGGTAGGCGTCGACCGAGGGTGTGACCTGGGGTCCCGAGTACCGTGTGCCGACCTCCACCCCGGCCATATCTCTTATCATACCAGTAACATACAGTTTTATACATATCAATATGCATTTACAGAAGTACGTACTACATTCTGATTGGACAATATAACCAATGACTATTATAAAATTTCATTTTAATGGACATGAATAAGTTGACTTTACTTTCAAAGAGTGTTTTTCAGCATTACAAATGACACATCTTTTGATAAATTATACATACATGTGGATTTTCATATTGTTGTGGTGTGTTTATTTCAAGAGGAGTGTGTCATTTCGGCATAGCTTTCAGTTCCTCGCTATTGTCAAAGAAAACGACGAGAGCCCGTGACCTAAGGCTCATAAATATTCATACACGTGAGACAGTTATACACGACCGGTTTATACATAATTCAAATCCAACATTAGCCAGAATCTAGCTTCTCCATTAGAGTTGTCGTCGCCATGAGACTCACACATGCGACGTTTAATTTCACTCACTCACTAGTGTAGTGCCATTCCTGGAAACAGTGAAATGGTAGACAATTGAAGGCTGTCCCTGTTGTTCTACGAATCTTTACGTGATATTTTAGAAGTTGGAGTCTCAGTGACAACAGAGTGAGTGAGTGAAGTTTTACGCCGCATTAAGCAATATTGCAGCAATATCACGGCGGGAGACACCAGGAATGGGCTTCGCACATTGTACCCATTTCGGGAATCGAACCCGTGTCTTCGGCGTGACGAGCGAACGCTTTAAGCACTAGGCTACCCTACCGCCCTCACTGACAACAGAGGTGGGTTGATTTTTAACTTTCTTTTGTATTTAAATGAGACGTTTTAGAGAGCGCTAGCAAACTTTATCAAGTACGTGATCAACAACTGAAAATTAACAACAAAAACTGTCATCAGTTGTCAATCTGTTCATCGTTTTTGTCAATCTGTTTGAGAGTGTAATTATAGCCTTGAAATAAAGGCTAGATAGGTAGCGTGGGTTGTATACTCCCTAGGGAGTTGAGAATGAAAATCGAGTGCACACTGATCTATTAACCGGGGTAATAAATATGCAGCGCCCTGAGCATTCACTTGAACGGAATTGACATTATTATCATCAGTAGAAGTAGATGTGATAGTAGTTGTAGTTGTAGTAGTAGTGGAATAGCTGGAATATTGACGACTGTGGCGTAAAACAACAATCAATCACGCACCTCACGCCATGGCATAATTATCGCGTTGTTTAGACAAGAACATGTTATAGATATCGATAGAAACTATCTCAGTTGGTACGTCACATGAAAATTGTCGATCCTGAAAAAGAAACCACCTGTCCTATGTTTCACATTTCCCAAGCATCGTCGTCCATGCTTCACGTTACATATGCAGGTGTCGTCATATCGTAGACACAAGTTTCAAAACAAACATAAATTTAAGCCATAAGAGAACCTACCGAATGACCTCTTTCTTCCGCTGAAAGTATTACCAAGAGTATATCAAAGCTTGATTAGACCTTCACAATTACACCGCAAGTCCGCCTCGCCTCGGCCGCTCGCTTCTATCGAGTTTAAGCGAAATAATGGTGGTCACATGACTTGACATGTGAATCAAGATGGCGGGGGCCAAGTTATTGTAATGTGAAACAGAGAGGCGACCTAGCTTGTGTAATCAGTTCGTATCCGACTCGTGCTATTCCGGGACAGGCCGAAGGAAACTTTAGTAGGTCACGGAAAGGGGTGAGTGAGACGAAGGGACCTTTTTGTAGGGTACGTGACTCCCTGCCCCTAAAAGGTTTGAGCGGCACAATCGACGTATATAAGTTTAAGAGGGGGATACGGGCGGAAGTCTTTCCAATAAACATATGTTTAAGCCATAAAACAACCTACCTAATGACCTCTTCCTTCCGCTGAATGTATGACCAAGAGTATATAAAAGCTTGATAAGGCCTTCACATGTTGGACATTGAGACAACCATTACACGCCAGCACACGTCCGCCTCGCACGGGCCGCTCGCTTCTTTCGAGTGTCAGTGAAATCATGGTGGTCACACGAGAAGACATGTGAATCAAGATGGCGGAGTTGGAGTTAAAATATTGCAATGTGAAACGAGATGGCGACGTTATGCCATCATTTCGTGACCACTTCGTGCTATTCCGGGACAGGCCGAAGAAACGTTTTTGTGGGTCACGGGAGTGAGTAAGTGAGTCACGGGAAGGAGTGAGTGGTTTGCGCAATAAAAACTCTATTTATCCAAAATTGTTAACCCTTTCATCCTCAGCGCTATCTATAAATTTCAATTAACATTTCGCTACGTCACCGGATCTTACAAATGTACATGTACGCGGGTCATTGACCTTGCACCACGCTAGTGTTACTTCTGGGTGATTGTTACTTCTTGGTGATTGTTACTTCTTGGTGATTGTTACTTCTGGGTGATTGTTACTTCTTGGTGATTGTTACTTCTAGGTGATTGTTACTTCTGGGTGATTGTTACTTCTGGTTGATTGTTACTGTTGGTTCATTGTTACTTCTGGGTGATTGTTACTTCTGGGTGAGTGTTACTTCTTGGTGATTGTTACTTCTTGGTGATTGTTACTTCTGGGTGATTGTTACTTCTGGGTGATTGTTACTGTTGGTTCATTGTTACTTCTTGGTGATTGTTACTTCTTGGTGATTGTTACTTCTAGGTGACTGATACTTCTGGGTGATTGTTACTCCTTGGTGATTGTTACTTCTGGGTGATTGTTACAGTTGGTTCATTGTTACTTCTTGGTGATTGTTACTTCTGAGTAATTGTTACTTCTAGTTGATTGAACTTCTGGGTGATTGTTACTTCTAGGTGATTATTACATCTGGGTGATTGTTACTTCTGGGTGATTGCTACTTCTATGTGGTTGTTACTTCTGGGTGCGTCGCTGGCCTATGGTTGTTACTTATTGAGTGGGTCACCGTCACTACCTAACTGACGCTTGGGGACCGTCACACATAAGTATTAAGTCTAAGTGTAAGTCGAGTCTTTATACACGGGGAGTGGTAGGCGTCGACCGAGGGTGTGACCTGGGGTCCCGAGTCCCGTGTGCCGACCTCCACCCCGGCCATATCTCTTATCATATCGGGTACAAACATACAAATTTTATACATAATAATGATGCATTTACAGAAGTACGTACTACATTCTGATTGGGTAATATAACCAATGACTATTATAAAATTTCATTTTAATGGACACGAATAAGTTGACTTCACCTGAATGACATTTATTGCTCATCTATCTACAGTGAAGCTAAGACTGGACATGCATGATAGTTGACATGAAGCTTAGAGCGTCAGTCAGCCATCTTTGATTACAAAGGACGGACAGGTCAACATGTGACCCTTTATCCTCTTATAGTACTGTTATTGTGTGACGTCAGTGCGCCAACTGTGCTCGAAGATAAGGTTTAACTTTAATAATTTAACTTCTAACTGTATGTTTCTTTATGCTCATAAGGTACGGAAACCGATGCACATTGTAAATATAAATATACATGAAAAGTAGCTGTATGACACTACATACCAAACCTGATCGACCGACCTGTGGTCTGCAAGCGGGCGGATTGTCGGGGGTCCTCCCAATGTATCTACAGTAAAACCAAGATACGGTCTGATGCTCAGAAAGTAATGCACGAGTGAACATGACTGTTACTTGTTTCACCTTTGAAATGTTTGTTTGTTTGTTTGTTATTTAACGCCGCACTCAGCAATATTCCAGCTATATGACGACCACCTGTAAAATGAAATAAACTTGTCCATATTGAAAGAAACAATGATGGAGGAGACAAAGAATGAAAGAAGTTGCAATCCATAAAAAGGTGTCATGTCTTCATATTCTCCCAACTTATAAATGCCTTTAAATGACTATATATCACCAGACAAAGTTAAATACTAGAACAGTGGGAATTAAGACTATTGTTTGTTCCAGACTAGACTTACCCCAGTCTGCCGTCATACAAAATTAATCATCTGCGCATAAATTACATAGAAATATATAAATGAAAAAGGCATAGAAAGGAAAGGAAAACATAATAAGCACACTTAAATTAAACACAAAATGAAATTCGCAAAAATGTTCTTAGAATATATTGACTGAAACTTGACGTTACCAGGATTTTGTAAAGGGGGGTACGTTGGGGGGAGGGCGGGGGGTTTGAATTATTTAATGTTTGTAGATGAATACGAATAATGAGTGTGTACGATATAATACTATGTGATTTGCAATGGTGCTGTTTCAAACCCTCTGACCCCCACCCCTCCCCTCTGGTCCGCCCCTACGTAAGCCTGAATGTATGCCCATTGTACTCAAAACTCTGTTCACCACGTGAAGTAGGAATATATCAAGTCTAATGTGGAGCTGTGCATTTACACTTTGCAGTGACACTTACTTGGGAGGGCACTTGTTTGTTTGTTTGTTTGTTGTTTACCGCCGCACTCAGCAATATTCCAGCTATATGACGGCGGTCTGTAAATAATCGAGTCTTGACAAGACAATCCAGTGATTGATATCATGAGCATCGATCTACGCAATTGGGATTGGAGGACAGTAATCATGTAAGATTGAATTATTGCACTCACTTAATTTGTTTATTTGGTAAAAGTAATTATTACTGCCATATGATAACTTTATGATAAAATAGTTGACAGGTGAACAACTGTTTACTTATTTATAATGTACGAGGCATGGCTTGATCATGCCTCCCACCCACAGTTAATCTCACCAATCAACAGGGAAACAGACTATAGCTCTGATTACACTGGGCTGTTAGTTTTAATCCCCCTCCCTGAGACAGACAGGCAGACATTTTATTTTCGCCTCACCGCTGTACATCATAAAAACATGCATAGGCCCGCCACCGCTAGCCTGCCACCTTTATGACAGTTTTTAGGTCTATGCCTCTATAGCTTCACAGACAGACATTTTATCTTCGTCTCACCGCTGTACACCATAAAGACATGCATAAATAGGTGTTTATACATAAAAATAATAATCATTTGAGTTATGAGAGGCGGTACTAAACTATATATATATATATATATATATATATATATATATATATATATATATATATATATATATATATATATATATATGTTTTACCCATTTAACAATAGCTTTCTGCGTTGTAATATTTTTGGCAGTGAAATATGCCACATGTTTTAAAAAGGGCACACGATTTCTAATTGTTTCACAGGTTTAAAAAGTTCGACACCGATCAGCTGTTTGATACAAAATATATTGCCAGGCTGCCATCAGGACGCACAGACCCCTAAGCTGCAGCCCCTGACTAAACTCGCGACCGACATGCCCTCATTTAAAAGAAAAACTGCAGCTTATTTTGATAAATAAATCGAGGCGTAAATTTACGAAGCACCCATACAAATTTGAAACTACGGGCCCGACACGAGATCTGCCTGCCACGGGCCTACGGGTAGGCACTTATTTCAAACGCTGTCCAGTGTCCTTCTGACTTGTTTAAACTACAATGAATTAAAACGTTAATTCTATTCATCTTAAACATAGTTACTTGATGTTACAGATTCTACATTATTTTGTTGTTGTTTATACAGCGGTAAGTATATAATTCCTCGATTCATTTTAAATTTTTTTTTACAAAGTTTATACAGGAATCTGCAACAGTACAAGCCCGACCTCACTGGGCAACAGATACTGACAAACAATGTTTATTCTTTTCTTCTGACGCTTATCTCTTAGCATCTTCTCGAGGCAAGAGAGTTAACTGACTTTAAAAGTCCAGTTTCCGCCCTTGCCGAACTAGGCTGGAATTACTGGGCTCGATCGTAGCGCCACCAGTGGCTATTACCAGCTATGTCCCTTCTAAGCCTCTCCTATGGACCAATCAGATTCCACCTCTCGTATCACTTGCGTTTGCTTCACACAAAATGGTGGCGCCCAGTCAGGACGATCTGATCGATAATCAAGATCTATATTGTGATAAAACGGGTCTTACATCGCGAAATGCATCAAATCACGCACCTTGATTAAAAACATGAAAAGATTTGGAAAATATCTGCTGACAATGAGTTGGTGGTGCACTTGCTTTGCAAATCCTGCAATCAACCGAAATCTGCACGACGGTTTACGAACCGGATTTCGATTTCGGTGGGCGATTATGATTGGACTATGCATAGACTCGTTAGTCCAGCCAAAATGTAACTCCATAATACAAGCCTAGTTCGGCAAGGGTGGAAACTGGACTTTTATAGTCAGTTAACTCTCTTGCCTCGGAAAGATGATCTCTTAGCAAATATAAGTCAAACCATAGTGGTTCGGTCCATTGACTTAAAAGGATAGAAACTGAGTTCCCAATGTACCTATATAGTAATGACTGTATAGACAAATTGGGATTAAGGCATACTGGGATTGAACCAATTGTACGGCTAGTCGTGGCGTCGGCTATGGCCGCTGCATCACTAACGACTACATCGACGGCTACATCAACTACATAGACTAACGGTTAGTCTCTGAAAACACATGTAAGTTGAAACAAACAACTCCATTTAAATTAAAAAGGAACCCCAGTGAGAACCTTCAGGACAATCTAGACTTGCTTCATTCATGACTACGGCATTAAATATTAAAGTGCTGGGCGGAAGGGAAACTAAAGTACTCACGGAAATGAAAAAACCCTGTTTTTTCGACCTCAGATCTTAAATAAATGCAGTTAATATACAAAATATGTAAATATTCCAACAACTCAATTAGTACTAATTGGGCCTTGGCACAAATACAGCGTATCGAAGGTTTTTATGCCTTTTTACAAGTAAAAGTGTGTAAAAATGAAAATAAAACAGACTATTGTGAAACAGGGCATAACCAGGTGTAAGTAGATCAAGGTGAATGTCCATGCGCTATGACACCTTGACGACAGTTGAGAACAGGTGCATAATGCCTATAGTCTGTTTCTGCTATGTCAATTTGGACTTAGTTTTATTTTTGAATGTTGAAAGTGACGACAAATTACCTCCTGTAAAGTACATTTAGTATTGTTCACTGAGATCAAACTAGCAAATCCAGACTAGGACTTTTCGAGTTGTTTTGTTATTTCGTATTTACAGCGACGTAACACTTTGTGTCGAGTTTTAAATGGAGAAAAACAGGTTTTTTTCATTTCCGTGAGTACTGTAATAAAGTTCAGACTATAAGTGTTGAACTAATCTAGCCAGTAATAAGTAATCTGAGAAAATTGATAACCATCAATTCATATATTACTGTAAATTTCGATTTGTTTGAGTAGCATGATTAATAGGCGTGATCGAGCAACCTCGATTACGTGAACAGACTGGACAATCAACCATAAAGCGAACGTATAGATCGATAGATCATCAATCTCAAAGAAATCAGATCTTTAACTCCCATGCGATACCTATCTGTGAATAGCTGCCCGCACTTGCATTGGAGGATGTGTCCGCCCATTCTATATGAAGGATGCTTGGGTCCTTGAGCTAATCAGATCTAAACCGATTCGGTTTTGTTTCTTATAACCACCTCCATTCGAAAAATGTCGATCCCCGCAAAAGAAACTCCACCCGACAAAGAAACTCCACCAGAACACATATATTCCCTCTTTATCCTTTCATGGCGCTAAGAAACGCCAGTATGTATAAAATATTCACAACAATACAATAGCGCGGCTTTATTAATTTGCATTCGGAACTCGTCGATTATATTCGTTATCGAGATGGAGAAATCAGATATACTTGTTTGAATGCTTAACTTACTCGTACAGAGGACTCAGAAGCCTTTGCCCCGTGAAGATTCAGGTTAGAATTGGTCTTCAGCAGCCCGAGATTGTCGTAAGAGGTGATTGACGGGATCGGGTGGTCAGTCTCGCGTCTTGGTTCATGCATGTCATTGTATACCAAATTGCGCAGATCGATGCTCATGATGTCAATCACAAGATTGTCTGGTGTTTGTCTAGGTTATTGCAATAAACTATTTTTTATTCATATGTATGTTTATATTGTATTTTTCCCAAGTAAGGGTATATGATGCTGAATGATCATTTCCCATCACTGTCAACAACTGTTATGGCCTCTTGAAATGGAAGATTTGAAATGTTTATTAATAAACAAGGGTTACAGGCATACTTTCTCTCATGGTCATGTATCTCTATCAAAGATTATGGATTTGCTCACGAAATACTCTGTATTGATGAGGATGGCCATATTGTGGTCGAGACTTTTTATTGAGGCTGATCGAGTTGGGCTTTTTCAAGCAAGTGGAGGCTGAGTTTTTTTATTTACACAAAATTATGAGCTGTGTTTATTTTTCCCCGCACAAAAGAAAGAGCGTACATGCCCTCGCGTCAATTGGAGGCCGGCGTGTATTGAAGGCCGGACGACTAATAGAGGAAATACAGTAATTGAACCAAACTTCCTTGGGTGGATTTTCCGTCTTTAAGACCATGCTAGGTGTCAACAGAGATTAATCGATAATTAAATGGTGCTGGGTTGAATATTTGATGTTAGTTATCACTAGCATGTTGCCACCAAATTGACTCCATCTGCAGTTAAAATGTAGACCTGGTTTACGACAACCAATCGTGACGGTTTACGACAGAAAGGGAGACAACTCCAATAAGTGCTTATAGTTTCATTGTTGCTGTACAAATTATGAATCTGTGGATTTATTTCCCTGTTTGCCGGCCGTGGGATGATAAAACTTTTTAAAATGTCGCCCTAAAAGTTTGTAAGGCATAATGCCATGATGTAGAGGTAGCATAGCTTACTACTGAAGCTGAAACGCTCGCTCAGGTCATTGTTATCACCTAAGCTTGTTTCACTCCCGTATGCTACTGGCGACTCGTTCATGTTAAATGTTTAATACGCAAGTTGAAATTCGTATCAAACTTTTCTCGTATCAAATACGAGTGCACTTCATGTATGTATTTTCACGTAGATGATACTTAGATCAGACAGTTTAGTGGTTAGGAGGAAATAGCGTCCGCCCTATCTTGGATATTGCACACCAAGATCTAGGCCTATACCACAGCATGTGATAGAAATGGCAAACCCAGACTATGGCTTCTACCTTAACAACAACAACAATAACAACAACAACAGTTATCTACCAAGTCTACGACATCCATCGCCATTTTTTCCATTGACGGCAACCTCACATATGCCATCCTCCATTTATCAAAACAGTCAAATTGGACAGAATGTGACATCCAATTTTACCTTCACATCTCCAACTCAGACCAATGTTGTATCCTACGCCTCACCGATGTATACTGCCTCAGTGTCCACAACACACAGTCCGTACCATGGACCTCGTACCGCCCCGGGGACAGGGGCGCGGTGGCAGCACACTGTACCCCAACAAATGCCGTGGATGTCTACAGTACCCCAGAGCAGCTCCCCCGTCATTGTATTCACAGCACAGTCCTCACAGTCCACAGCATTTCAGCAGTCTTCTCTGTAAGTGTCCATTTCATTTTCCTTTGAGTCCTAAAAAGGCTGTAGGCCTGAAGGGGGCACCAGTGGCCCACACATTTTTAAGGGCTGCAATTCACTTTTCAGATTTGCATCCCTTAAACATGCCAGAAACCTCTGATCATGTGTTTGAAATCCCGGTTTACCCTGATTCTATGTCCTGGCTTGTCAGCACGATACCCCTGCTCCCTGTGAATAAGTCTTCAGCAACCTTGCGTTGCTTAAGAGGCGACTATGCTTTTCGTAAGAGGATAGGTTCGGGTGGTCAGGCTTGCTGACTTGGTTAATGCATGTCATCATATCCCAATTGAGTTGATCGATGCTCATGATGTCAATCACTAGATGTTTGATCCAGACTTGATTATTTACAGACCACCATCATATAGCTGGAATATTGCTGAGTGCAGCGTTAAAAGACAAACAAGCGATACCCATGCAATGTGGGAAGTGTCTAAGACCTGCATCACATGGGCTCCCCTCCCACACAGGGCCACTAATCTGTTAGTCCGTGACTAGTGAAAACCAAGAAAGACTACTTTTGGATATGACCAATGGCTTTTGTCCCTTCCATATCGAGCTGATATGCCATAACAAAAGTGAAATGTTGTTCAAAGCGACATTGAACCAAACTCACTCATTAAAACTGAAACATTGCTGGTCAGTAAACAAGTAGTAAAACTCAACGTTGCTGTACACAACTGGGAGGGACGAAAAACTGCATCTTGTATTTATCATGTTTATGTGGGTTTTTTTCACAAATTGTTTGGATGATGTTAATTACCTGTTCATCAAATGGTCTACAAAACTGACATTGATTAAAGATTTCATGTCATCTTATTATATACATTGATTCAGAAATTTTATGAAAAAATGTGTTGGCAATTGTTTTCTGTCTGGTCCAGATTTGATTGTTTACAGATTGCCGTCATATAGCTGGAATATTGCTGAGGGCAGCGTTAAACAACAAACAAAATAAGACCAAAAACACTCAGTATTTGCTTGTGTATATTACCAGATTACAGACTCAACTTATAGAAAACAGAAGTGTAGAAGGAGAATATAATTGTCTCATATTATTATTAAAGACGTTATTTTCATTGACATTTGAACTGAGTTTGTTCATACCACTCAATCTCTGACAAGGAATTTACATTTTTGCCATTTTTTTAATAGCCTGGAGCACTTATTATGGTGAATTTGGTATATCAAAATGAGAATGTATCTAACTTTACCCACAAGTGTATTGATGGATTGATGGATGAAATGACAGACACCCATAAATGTTATCGATGTGCTGTAGGGACAAAGAAATAGTTTTGTGCATCGGGACGCAGTATATTCTTTTTCCGCATCCATTCTCAACATTTGTGCGTACTGGAAGCACATCTGTTCATCGCGTAGAGCCCTGCAGAATATAGCATCCTATACCCAAACAGAGATTTGACATCAATAATACCTGCATCCCATGGGATGCTAAATTATGTCCATTTGATGTTAATTGTTTGTTGTTTAACACCGCTTTCCACAATATTCCAGCTACGTGACGGTGGTCTGTACATAATCAAATCTGGACTTGACACCCCGCTTTTGTGATAAGGGCAGAGCTTCAGTGAATGCTCAGTGTTAAATATAAATGATGTAGAAAGAGAATATAATTGTCTCATAACTAATGATAACTATTATTGAAGATGTTATTTTCATTGACATTTGAACTGAGTTTGTTCATACCACTCAATCTCTGACAAGGAATTTACATTTTTGTCAATTTTCTAATAGCTTGGAGCACTTATTATGGTGAATTCGGTATATCAAAATGAGAATGTATCTAACTTTAACCACAAGTGTAAGGCATGATTCTAATAAAATTTATGTTTCTATTAGCATGATTAGTATTACCATGATTAAACTAGGTTCAGGGGTAGCCTAGTGGTTATAATGTTCGTTCGTCAAGCTGAAGATCCGGGTTTGATTCCATATGTGGGTACAATGTGTGAAGTCCATTTTATGGTGCCCGCCGTAGTGATATTGCTGGAATATTGCTAAAGGCTGTAAAACAATACTCACTCGCTAAACTTGGTTAATGAAAGTTTATGAGTTGTAAAATATCATTGGAATTCTAAGTCTACAATCCAGGCATTGTTGATTCATGGTAAGTTTTTATATTTCACAGGTGGGGATATTCACATTGATTTCATTACCATTTTAGGCTAGGGGTGGGCACTGTCATTAATTTGGTGACCGATTTTTTGTTGTTGATTTACCATGTTTACAATATATATACATCATCGTCATGGAGATGAAATAATTCTACTCCTCATCCTCATCATGACAAGATTTCTTTGTGTTGCAGGACCTCCAAGTTTGAGCCCAAAGCATCCTGCAGTTTCACTCAGAGAAGACCAAAGAGACATAGTGAACTGCATTACAATACGTAAGTCTGTTCCTCACAGTGCTACAGCACCTGTGAAGATTCTGGGGTCAAAAAGGTCTTCAGCAACCCATACTTGCCGAAAAAGGCGACTATGCTTATCGTAAAAGGTGACTAACGGGATCGGGTGGTCAGGCTCGCTGACTTGGTTGATACATGTCATCGATCCCAATTGCGTTGATCGATGCTCATGATGTCAATCACTGAATTGTCTGGTCCAGACTCGATTATTTTACAGACCGCTGTCATATAGCTGGAATATTGCTGAGTGCGGCGTTGAACAACAAACAAACAAAACAAAACAAAACAAACACAGAGCTACAGATAAGCTGCATGTTTGTGTAAAACCCAAAAATATTAAAAATATTCAAAACCCAATAACTTTCAATTAATTAACTTGCATACAGAAACACATGCATAAAATGAAAAACTCAAATGTATAAAAACAGCATGCGTAAATACCTAAATGAAGTTTTTTCAGCATGCTAATTCCCAAAACACAATTACAAGCTAATTAACTTTCTGAGTCAAGCCGATAATTAGAACCATTATATGCATCTTAAACATTATTTAGGCTCATTATTGTTTGAAACCTTAAAATGTTTACTCATTTTGGGAAAAACCCAATAGACATGATAGAGTGATGAATAGAATCAATGAAAAATGTAATAACCCAATTAGAATAGAAACCTTCAAGTAAAAACTCAATTGCTCAAAAAGTTATCTGGAGCTTCTTTCAGCCTTCTAAGATTGATTTTTTTATTAGGGAGCCAAGTGGCTCCTAACATGAATATTTCAGAAGCCCAACCTAATTTTTAGATGGTTGGTTTTTTTTCCCAAGGAGTCAGACCTGAGAGTCTGAGATAAGACAAATGTGGATTATGTTCCTATGGGTTTCATTGTGTGAAGTCTAAGATCTTCTTTTTTCTCCTAAATACTGTAGGGGGTGCTCATTATGCTTGGGTGTGCAATACAGTAGGTATTGTCGCTAGCAATATATTTTTAGATAGCCAACGCTATGAGCAGTAGATCAGATTAGGTCGCAATCATAGATTTAAGTTGCATTTGTGACCAAAATTGTCGCTACTAAGAGAACTTTTTGCTGTCTCTTCCTCCAGCTCCATGTGTCCCAGCTCAAAGGTCCGAATCACGGATGAGAAGATGGCCGCTCGGATGGAGGGCTTGAACCTAACTGGGACGTCTGAAGCCACAGACCGCAGGCAGTACTCCAGCTGGGAAAAACTTAGGGAAATAGAGGACAGGTAATGGATGAACAAATCACACGTTATCAGTGTTCCTGTTTACCGGTTTTTACCAGTGTTTTACCGGTAAAGTTAGGCATGGCCCTGTAATTTATCATCTTCCTGAGGCAAGCGTGTCCACTAGGCTTTATCAAAGTCTAGTTTCTACCCTTGCCACATAAGACCACTTTTCTTGACTCGAGCCTGGCACCACCTCACATAGACCACAAGTTGTGCCCCATTGTAATGAAAACGCGATATCCAATCAGATCGTTGTTCTTATCTCGTATAGCATCACAAAGATGGCAACTACCACAGGCGACGACCTAGTTGATCAGGTATTGAAATCATTCGTGATTTCATCCAAAAACATAGACAATCGTTTTTCAATGAAAAAGACGTGTCAACAAAGACGGGCAGCGGTAAATCTCTTTCATACGAAGGTATACCAGTCGTGGATGTTGATTTTGTGAAACCTTCTCTGATTGGACTATCAATATGTGGGATAGTCCAAATATCTCTGTGGGCTAGCATTTGAAAATTGGTATTAGTATGGACTATTACAAGCAGCAACACACGCACACGTGTATGCACGTCACTATGTAAGTGCATAATCTTGGACGCAAGGTTAAACACCATTTCGCCTCATCTCTGAAACACAGGACCTTTGCAGTTAAAACTTTGCGTTTTTTTACTGTATTTGACCATTTCCTCCGAAACCTACCGGTAGATATTCTGTATAGGATCCCACCTTGTGATGATGTTTCTAAGATTTGTCGAAATAAGTCAATTTGAAACATGGCTGCATGAATCATTATGAAATATCATTTGCAGTATTAACCCAACCCATTGGAATATTTGCTCCCCAGGTTAGAAGATGAAGATATGGGGATAGACGCCCCCAGTACAATCAACCAGAACACCAACTCTAGTCTGCCTCGTCTCAGAATCAAGGCCGGGATCAACCCACAAGATTTACTCAAGTCCACCATTTTACCCCAGACAATACTCGAAGATTTGTAAGTGCAACTGTAGAAGGGATTCCATGCATACAAACTGATGTGTTTAAATTTATTATAACTTACCATCCCCAAAAGTTACAACAGAGGTTGTTTGATTGATGCACTCTGTTTGGGAGACCTGGTGGATCCTATTTGGGAGAGTTGGTGCCCCTGTTTAGGAGAGCTGGTGGATACTATTTGGGAGAGCTGGTGCCCCTGTTTAGGAGAGCTGGTGGATCCTATTTGGGAGAGCTGGTGCCCCTGTTTAGGAGAGCTGGTGTAGCTATTTGGGAGAGCTGGTGCCCCTGTTTAGGAGAGCTGGTGGAGCCTATTTGGGAGAGCTGGTGCCCCTGTTTAGGAGAGCTGGTGCCCTGTGTTTGGGAAACTTGGTATCCCCTGATGATGAGAGTGAGTGAGTGAGTTAGGTTTAATGCCACTTTTAATAATATTACAGATATATTGCGGCATGTCAGCTTAATGTGGGAGGAAAGCCCGAAGTGATGCAGGTGTCAGATGTTTACCGCTTTGGTGAAATCCACGAGCACGGGTATGGTGTTGACAAACCTGGAAACATAATCGTGGCGAACCGGGATTCGAAGCTATGATCATAGGTTTCTGCCCAAGGGACGCAACAGTGAGTCGCAGCGCCTTAGACGACTGGGCCACCCATGCCCCCTCTGATGATGAGAGATGGTGCCCCTATTTGGGTGAGATGGTGCCCCAGTGTTTGGCATAGATGGTCCCCTCTTTTAAATAGTTGGTGTCCCCTGTTTAGGAGAGATGGTCCCCTCTTTTAGATAGTTGGTGCCCCCTGTTTGGGAGAGATGGTCCCCTCTTTTAGATAGTTGGTGTCCCCTGTTTGGGAGAGATGGTCCCCTCTTTTAGATAGTTGGTGTCCCCTGTTTGGGAGAGATGGTCCCCTCTTTTAGATTGTTGGTGTCTCTTTTTGGGAGAGATGGTCCCCTCTTTTGGATAGTTGATGTCCCCTGTTTGGGAGAGATGATCCGACCATTTGTTTTTTCAACACCTGTCTATCATGGTTGATTTGACGATAGTTGTACCACTTTGTTCCCACATAAAGCTGTCAAGGATCGACCAAACTTAAACTCTGTTTCAACGGTGTTTAACCCCCCACTAACATGGTTGACCTGTTTCAGAAATAAGCCATGTATGCAGGTTGTGTTGTGGAAACCCCCTGGCATTGTGAAGGACATTGAGGAGATGTTTTCACCCAAGGCATCCGGTATTCAAGGCAGCAGCCTAGAGGACTCAGTCATCAGCACAGAGGACGTCCTCAGCAACATGGAGGACTTAGTGACCAGTTCAGAGAACCAGGATCTGCCAAGTCAAATACTACAGCAGCCTGTCCGAAACCTCACCATAACAGTGCCTTCCCCGTCATCATATACAGACATGTGAGTGGTCAGAAACCTCACTATAAGGCCATAATAAATTGATTCCTAGATTATCATCCTCTTTTTTTTCAAAAGTAAAGAGGAAGGCTTTTTTTATGTTTTATTTTTTATTAAAGTCAAGATGAAGACTGGACACCTTAGTATGAACAATAGATGACTGTAATAACAAGGATAATAAATAAACATTGATCTCAACAGTAGCAGTCGGATGTATCGGTGTCAAACCTACCGTATTCGACGTAATAACTGCCCCACTCTAATAAGCGCCCACGACGATATTTGCTGATATATTGGCGAATGAACAATCCCAATTAGCACCCTTCCGATTGATCAATGTACACAAGACTTATTTATTCATGTATAATACACACTTGTGTGTTATATGCACCTTTAATTATGGGCAATTAAATTCTGGAAAAATATATCTGTCGTACATAAACATTTCAGGCTGTCACCATAAACCACGAAATCTATCTTTCAACTGGTTTTTTTCTCACCCAAATAATATTCTAACAAGGGCCCCCTATTTCTAATTTTGAGAGCGCTCTGGGCGCTTATTACGTCGAAGACGGTATTTTTGTTTTTCCTGACCCAACTTATACTTGTGCATTTATGAATTTATCTTCTTTGATAGGCATTTAGAAGTTGGAGTATTGAGTAAGGATAAGAATTTATGGATGAACAACTTCTTTATTACAATTAAGACCGATGTTTCGGTGTAGGTTGCTTGATAATGGTGTTAGAACCTACACCGATATGTCGCTCTTAATTGTAATACAGAAGTTGTTCATCCATAAATTCTTATCCTTACAATGAATTTATCCTCAACCAACTCAACTGACATTAACTTGTTGAAGAGTCATAGACTCTGGCAAAGGAGAAGCATACCAGTCTTTGATGGCTTGCACACCCTTCCATATTTTCAAAAGAGTGTCAGTGTCTTCCTTCTATGTGCTGTAATGATCTGAGATTGCATTTAGGCCTGGGACGAGTCCAAAATTATTACCCGGGTATCCGACCCCCCATTACCCAACCCAACCCTACCCGACCCTGCCTGGGTACCCACTGCAGGTCTCAAGAGTCTCAACAAAATGTCTGATTGGGAATTGTTTTACCGCAGCCCTGGCCAAAACTATTTAGATACATGTATTAAACTATGAGACCACGCGGACGTGGAAGTTGACTGAAGCTTTATCTTTACTTCGGAAAGAAATGCGAACATTAGCAACATGTAGTGTCACTGAGCTGTAGTGAGTTTTTGTCATTAAACAATATATCACTTGACTAACCATGGGTCCGGGTGGTCCTGTGGGTACCCGGGTCCTACTCAGGACCCACCCGACCCGAGTACCCGAGTTACCCTTCTCAGCCCAAATTGCATTTTCTCCCCAACTTATACTGACACTGTCCCATTAGGCTTAAAAAAAAATAAAAGAATTGGTTCTCATGTTTTTTGAAATCATATTGCAGTCAGGGCGGTGTCTTTTTTTTATTGGTAGTTCATAAAATACTGGAATACAGTATTTGACCACCATTGGAATTGAAGTATTTGAGGATTTAAATTACTTTTTTTTAAAATGGAAATAAAAACGAAACATGCAGCGAACTTTAAGATGATGCGGGGAGTGCCTGAGAACCAAGAATATTTTTTTTTTTTAGCCTTATGATTAAATGGATACCAGGACACAATACATGTTGATTATTGAAAAGTCCTGATATGTTTATGAATATTTGTATGCACCGAAGTATATGTAGATTAGGGCTGGGATAAGTCCAAATTTACTACCCGGGTACCCACCCCACTATTACCGGACCCTACCCGGTACCAGCTGTTGGTCTCAAGAGATAGCAACAAATGTCCAATTGGGAATAGTTTGACCGTAGCCCTTGCAAAATGTATTTAGATATTCATATTAAACGATCTGGTCATGCATACACTGAAGTTGACTGAAGTTTTATCTCTATTCAAACATATAAAGTCAGAAGGAATGTGTGCATAGTCAGAAAGAAATGCGAACATTAGTCACTTATAGTGTAACCGTGGAAGTTCTTGATAATTTTTGCCATTAAACAATATATCATGTAACTAACCACGGGTCTGGGTAGTCCTGTGGGTATCCGGGTCCTACTCAGGAATCACCCAACCCGAGTACCCAAGTTAACCTGTCCCAGCCCTAATGTAGATGTCATTGTATTTCAGTGTTCATGGGCCTGTGGCCTACATACATCCCAGCTGGGGATTCTGGGGTAGACTTGGTCCCCAGCAACCTATGCAGGTCACAATGGGTCTCAGGTGGTGAGGCATGGTTGATTGCAGGTCATTATATCCCGACAACATGGATAATGTTCATGATATCAATTTCTGGATTGTCTCATCCAGACTTGATTGTTTACAGCTTGCCGTAGGGCGGTCGGGTAGCCTGGTGGTTAAAGCGTTAGCACGCCACACCGAAGACCCAGGTTCGATTCCCGACATGGGTACAATGTGTGAAGCCAATTTCTGGTGTCCCCTGCCGTGATATTGCTGGAATATTGCTAAAAGCGGCGTAAAACCATACTCACTCACTCACTCACTACAGCTTGCCGTCATACAGCTGGCATAAAAATAAACAAACAAAACAAACATATGAAATAAATCGGACTTGTATTTGTCTGCAGGTTTCCCTCAACGGCCCTGACCTCCAGCACAGACGCAACTGAGCTCTGTCATTTCACCAACTCAACCCCAACTCAGCATTGTCAGTTTACAGAGGACGACAACATGGACCTATGACATGAGATCAGTCTAGCTCCTTCATCCCAAATATTTTCATGAATAGCTTTGTATAGGAATCTGGTGTTATGCTCTCCATATCTAAGGGGTGCATCATGGTGTATTAGGATGTGCCACATCAATGTGTCATTCTCCTATGTCACTGTCTGTCAGAGGGGCGGTGGGGTACCCTGGTGGTTAAAGCGTTTGCTTGTCACGCCAAAGACCCGGGTGCGATTCCCGACATGGGTACAATGTGTGAAGCCCATTTCTGGTGTCCCCCATCGTGATATTGCTGGAATATTGCTAAAGGCGGCGTAAAACCATACTCACTCACTCACTCTCTGTCAAATAATATTTCAGTTTCATTGAACATCCAGCTATGGTTTTATTTCAAGTCAAGTATTTCAACAGTTTTTCAGATATTTCTGCTTGAACTTTTAGAAAATAGCTGAGCTGTATCAATTGTTATATTTGGGATGACACTTTCTTATCAAATAATAATCGATTCTGTGTCTCCAGTGGATTAGTTTTGTAACTCTTTATGAAAACTTTCAACAGTATTTCAAGATGAGCCCATTCAATCAAATTAATAAAAATCATTATAATCGGGATTCATAATGCCTGTCTTGGACTTGAAGTTTCTGTATCTTTATTTATATCAGTGCATCAATTTATCTGATATTGTGATAAGGATAGAGATTGAGATTTCAGTCTGTGATATAATATCCCCCACGTTTATTACAGTTCTCAGCTCCATGGCTTAACAAAGACATTTTGTCAGTACCATATGTGTAACAGTGCTAACTATACAAAGAAACATGGCCTTTGTTTGGCTGATATATAGGTGTAGTCATTATCGTTATATTAAATTCCCATACAGTTGATACAGTTGAAACATGAGGATGCAGCTACAGCTGTAGTATGTAGTAAGAGTCCGCAGCCCGCCACAAAACTGTAGTAAGAGTCCGCAGCACCCCACAAAACTGTAGTAAGAGTCTGCAGCACCCCACAAAACTGTAGTAAGAGTCTGCAGCACCCCACAAAACTGTAGTAAGAGTCCGCAGCCCCTCACAAAACTGTAGTAAGAGTCCGCAGCACCCCACAAAACTGTAGTAAGAGTCTGCAGCACCCCACAAAACTGTAGTAAGAGTCTGCAGCACCCCACAAAACTGTAGTAAGAGTCCGCAGCCCCCCACAAAACTGTAGTAAGAGTCTGCAGCCCCCCACAAAACTGTGGTAAGAGTCTGCAGCATCCCACACAACTGTAGTAAGAGTCTGCAGCACTTCAGGTTTTTTTTCCTGCATCAAGCTGACACTTCTGATACATCTGAAGGGGCGGTCGGGGTGGCCTAGTGGTTAAAGCGTTCGCTCGTCACGCTGAAGACCCGGGTTCGATTCCCGACATGGGTACAATGTGTGAACCCCATTTCTGGTGTCCCCCGCCATGATATTGCTGGAATATTGCTAAAAGCTGCGTAAAACCATATTCATTCACTCACTGATATATCTGAAATACTGTTCAAAGCAGCATTAAACCCAACTCACTCACTCACTCTGACCTGATGACACATAGTGTTGTACAATTCTATACTCAGTGCACACAAATACCCGAGGAAGATTTTCAATCATGGCTGGATTTTCCGTTTAGTTCTCATTTTAGCATGTACAGAAACTGTTGACAATTTTACTTGTTTAGAAGTGTAGTTGTGAATGTGACTGTAGAGAGTATCTCTGGCATTTTTCGGGCCTGTTACATATTATTCCTTGTAATCCCTTTGTTCTCAGTGTCAGTGTAGTCAATTCTAGATACCAGAGTAAATGTTCACTTTGTTTTCCTGTCATTGACTGTTATGTTCTTGGTTGTACATGTATGTCCACCGTTGTGTGCTGTCATGTCTGAAAGTCTGGATGGCCTATGTTGTGATATGTCTGAATTGTTTGTCTGTCATCTAGATGCCATCTAGATGCATGGATCTATCAATGATTAGTCTAGACCTTGAACTTGACATTGATCCTGACCTTGACTTTAGTTTCTCACCTTGAACTTGATATCGACCTTGACACATTTACCTTGACCTTGATATATCTATTGGTATTTTTTCAGTAACGGTGCACTTCTTACACGAGCACATGTATATACAGTGTTTCAGATCCTGCTAGTTCACAATTCCTTATTGTGAATTATTTTCTCGTAGTTCCCCACTTTGTCTCACTGGTCTTCATGGTCTTGGCTGTGTGGACTAGGAGTTTTGTCCGCCCAACACTCGATACCAGGTAGTTGTGCAAGGTTTAATATTTGACTGAATTATCTCTGTCGATATGTTCAACTCACAGAGGATCAGGGTTCTGACAAATTGGCCAAATACCTTAGGAAATGAAACTTGATTTTCTATAGGTTAAGGGTCAAACCATTTAATATTCAGGTCTGGGGGAGACCTGGTTTTTTTGGACGATATTCTTTCTGTCACCGCTTCCAGACAATGTTTTCTCTGAATTCTTTTTCGCGACATGCATCATATCAAGCGAACTTTTTTGTGTGTGTAAAACTTGAGGTCAAATTATTTTGTTCACCACATTCTGAGGTTCGAGGCCTGAGGTCCAAATCTGAGGTCCCTCCCACCAGAATGTCAAATGTTCAGTTGCCAAGATCAGCAAGGTTCTAGTCTGAGCATTGATCCAATATGTGTGTGACTTGTACTCTTGATGTCATGGGAGTGGTCAATATTTCTTTGGAGAATCATTGTTGGTTCAGATATTTGTAATATTCTGGATAATAAAGACACACTGGAGGCAGCAATTCACATATACCTTTATTTTGCTGTTACATGCAATTAACAATGATAAAACGAATCTGTACAAATTATGATTACTCATTAGATGTTCGTGGTAACCATGGTAACAGTGTTCCGTTGTTGGAAATGATGATTATTGTTCTCTTATATTCAAGCAAAGGCACTTGGAACTGGATTAAAAACAATATTTGAACAATTCGAGAAATGCCGTTTTCTGGGTGTATAAAACTGTACTATATTTTGACACAACTTGACGAATAATTTGCTGCTTTCGATTTTTTTTCAAATATTTATTTTTAATCCTGTTCCAATGCCTATGGAACAAGTCGTTCACAGAACAGGGTGTATAAAGTTTGAGAGTTTCACGAAGTACATAGTTTATAGGATATGATACACTTTCTACAATGTTTGCAAATAGTGTAGAAACAAATTTCAGCTTACATGATAAGTATTTATGATTGTCATTGTACTCTTCAAATGATAGTAAAAGACTCCTAGTTTTTGTAGTTATTGTTTATTTTATTCTGTTGACACCATGGAGATTCCAGGTTTGATTTGCTCCACGGCAACACTGTGTGTGCATGCGTGCGTGAGAACATCAATCGATTATTGAGCAAGCAGACATTGCAACGTTGTATGGAGCATAGAGGTGAGGTGAAATGGGGTTGAAGGTTTTGTCCAAGATTTTTGCACTTATATAGTGACAAGCATGCATGTATGTGTGTGTGGCTGCTTGTACTGGTTCGTCCTGATGGCGATTTATAGTGCTAGCACACTGAGATACCATGCCGCAGTTTAACATGAATACCCCACTCAGACACTGTATACTGAATCCGAGCCGCATCTGTGATCGAGTTGATAGAGCGTCTTCCCTGGGAGCAGGTCGGTGGTTCAGGTCATACTAAAAGACGTCAAAAGATGGTAAACTGGTTATCTTGCTTGGAGCTTGGCTTTAATTCAATAAAACAAGGACTGGTAATCTCAAAGTCCATATACTGTGTCTAAGTGGTGTATCAATGAGTGGTGTGGCTACATAAGTGCAATAATCTTGAACGCGACATTTAACCCCATTTTACCACATGTCCCCCCAACTCACTTCAGCTCACCTTGAGTGAGTGAGTGAGTTGGGTTTAACGCCGCTTTTAACAGTATTCCAGTTAAATCACGGCATGACAGCTTAATGTGGGAGGAAAGCCCGAAATGATGCAGGTCTCAGACGTTTTCCGACGAGCATGGGGATGGTGCAGACAAACCTAGAGACATAATCAGATTCGAACCCACAATCATAGGTTTGTCATGCCCAAGGGACGCAACTCTGCCCAGTGAATCGTGGCACCTTACACGACTTGTGCCACCCCAGACCTCACCTCACCTTGAGTAATCAGTTCAAATAATAATAAAGGCTTCATAAGGAATGGGCGGTAGGTTAGCCTATTGGTAAAGCGTTCGCTGGTCGTCAAAGGCCCACTTCTATTCCCCACATATGAACAATGCGTGAAGCTCATTGATGGTGTCTGGTGGATATGGTTGGAACATTGTCAAAAGGAGCGTAAGACCCAACTTACACTCACTCATAACAAAATTTTAAAAGGTGTAAAAAAGTTTGTAGTTCTTAAAGATACTCGTTGGCTTTTAGGAATCAAAATTGTCCTGAAATATTTGGCTTCATGATCCAATAGTCCCACTGCTAAACCATTACATATGCTATGGCAGGACAGCAGAATCAAACGCCCTCGTGCCAACAGAGAACGTGAAAACAGGGACGGTGACTACAATGACCTCCACAAGGATTTCTTGGATTTCTGTAGAATAACATGAAGTCCCCGAATTGGATACATCACTGATCGGGTGGTCAGACTCGCTGACTTGGTTGAAACATGTCATAGATCCCAATTGAGTGGATTGATGCTCATGATGTCAATCACTGTATTGTCTGGTCCAACCTCGATTATTTACAGACCGCCGTCATATAGCTGGAATATTGCTGAGTGCGTCATAAAACAACAAAACAACCAACCAACCAACATCTCTGATATTGACGACATGCATAAAACAATTGTCCTTTAGGTACATCTTACGTAAAATGCTGATACCCTGCTGGCTTTCGCATACGTGCACACACACATGCACACGACAAACACAGAGACACATTCACACATGCATGCACCAAAACGTGTTTTTTGACAACATAACTTCTATCAATGACATGCCTAAAATACCCCACATATAATCTTCTGTTTCAAATATACAGATGGAAACACACATAAGATTAGCATGCTTGTCAATGCGACGCCACACCAGTGACCAGTTCAAAATAAATGGCCACACACTCAAACTCGACTTTCAGCTTTCAACTCACCTCACACACACTTGACTGACCTCGCTGCAATTGCCACAATTACAGTTCCAACAAGGCGGGTATATGTATCAATACAGTGCAATCCAAAGACTACTGTCTGTTGAAGGTTCCATAGAACGGAACCAGCCCTGTTGAAGGTTCCATAGAACAGCGCCAGCTCTGTTGAAGGTTCCATAGAACGTCGCCAGCTCTGTTGAAGGTTCCATAGAACAGCGCCAGCTCTGTTGAAGGTTCCATAGAACAGTGCCAGTGGTGAAGGTTCCATAGAACAGCACCAGCTCTGTTGAAGGTTCCATAGAACAGCACCAGCTCTGTTGAAGGTTCCATAGAACAGTGCCAGTGGTGAAGGTTCCATAGAACAGCGCCAGCTCTGTTGCAGGTTCCATAGAACAGCGCCAGCTCTGTTGAAGGTTCCATAGAACAGTGCCAGCTCTGTTGAAGGTTCCATAGAACAGTGCCAGCTCTGTTGAAGGTTCCATAGAACAGCGCCAGCTCTGTTGAAGGTTCCATAGAACAGCGCCAGCTCTGTTGAAGGTTCCATAGAACAGCACCAGCTCTGTTGAAGGTTCCATAGAACATCGCCAGCTCTGTTTTAAACTGAAACACATTCGTGGAAAGGGCTATGACGACAACGATGACCTCAAAGCTTCCGTGAATGCCCGACAGTGCCCGAAGCAAATTAAAAGACCCGAGGCACTGTCCTGCTGTGTAGACTGACAACATATGGTACCTTCAACAGAGCTGGCGCTATTCTATGGAACCTTCAACAAAGCTAGCGATGTTCTATGGAACCATCAATGGAGCTGGCGCTGTTCTATGGAACCTGCAACAGAGCTGGCACTGTTCTATGGAACCTTCAACAGAGCTGGCGATGTTCTATGGAACCTTCAACAGAACTGGTGCTGTTCTATGGAACCTTCAACAGAGCTGGCGCTGTTCTATGGAACCTTCAACAGAGCTGGCGCTGTTCTATGGAACCTTCAACAGAGCTGGCACTGTTCTATGGAACCTTCAACAGAGCTGGTGCTGTTCTATGGAACCTTCAACAGAGCTGGTGCTGTTCTATGGAACCTTCACCACTGGCACTGTTCTATGGAACCTTCAACAGAGCTGGCGCTGTTCTATGGAACCCTCAACAGAGCTGGTGCTGTTCTATGGAACCTTCAACAGGGCTGGTTCTGTTCTATGGAACCTTCAACAGACAGTAGTCTTTGGATTGCACTGTATTGATACATATACCCGCCTTGTTGGAACTGTAATTGTGGCAATTGCAGCGAAGTCAGTCAAGTGTGTGCGAGGTGAGTTCTATGGAACCTTCAACAGAGCTGGTGCTGTTCTATGGAACCTTCAACAGAGCTGGTGCTGTTCTATTGAACCTTCAACAGAGCTGGCGCTGTTCTATGGAACCTTCAACAGAGCTGGCACTGTTCTATGGAACCTTCAACAGAGCTGGTGCTGTTCTATGGAACCTTTAACATCGCTAGCTCTGTTGAAGGTTCCATAGAATAGCGCCAGCTCTGTTGAAGGTACCATATGTTGTCAGTCAACACAGCAGGACAGTGCCTCGTGTCTTTTAATTTGCTTCGGGCACTGTCGGGCATTCACGGAAGCTTTGAGGTCATCGTTGTTGTCATAGCGCTTTCCACGAATGTGTTTCAGTTTAGGAAACAGGTGGAAATCACTTTGTGCCAGGTCTGGCCAGTATGGAGGGTGACATCTTCCCGAGGCAAGAGCGGACACGCTTGCCTCGGGAAAAAGGGATGGTGATGCAGCTCTTCAAACCCAGATTGTCACACAGCAGCCTTTGCAAGTGGAGAGGTGTGAGAAGGGGCATTATCACGAAAAAGTAGAAACTTCAGCAGTCAGCATTCATCGCTTCTTTTCTTTGATAGAATCTCTCAGGCCATTAAGCAAATGAGTAGGCACCGGTAATCTTCTTTTGACTTTCTAAGTAATCAACAAGGACCACATCCTTTGCATCACAGAATACAGTGGCCATAACCAGAGACCATATATCGGTATATGGTCTCTGCCATAACTTTCTTATCCTGACGACTTGAATTTCTTATGTGCCGGAAAAGTGGAATGGTGCCATTCCATGGATTGATGTTTTGACTCAGGATCAGTGGTAGACCCATGTTTCATCACCTGTCACTAATCTCTTTTTTAATTTGACGAGATCCTCCTCAATTAGCTCTAAATTTTCTCTGGCAATGTCAGTTCCTTTTTCCTTAAGATCAGAATTTAGAAACTTTGGCACCCAACAAGCAGAGGAAGTTCAGCAATGGTAAAATACGTCTTTCTGGTAGTATAAGTTTTTCTATCTCCTTGACTGAATCTTCATTGATTGAAGTTGAGGGACGACCTAGGGTCGTCATCATCATCATCATTCTCTCTCTCTCATCAATGGAAAACCCCAACTTATGTTAACTCCGTCACAAAAAGCTCACTGTGATGTCAGTAAGATAATGTTGCGATAGCTGTAAGACAACTTCAAGAATATCTATTATGGCAGTTTTTCCAAACAAATACGCTAATAGTCTCTAATCTGACAAATAAAAAGTAGAAGAATTCATTTGTTTTTTTCATTTATTCCATGTGATTAGACATATTAACACAGCCATTGGAATGTTGCAAATCAACAGTAGCAGACCTCACATAAATATTGCACGGACACAAACATTTCTCAGATCTAATGGTCCCTCGAAGGCGGATCCCAACATCATCACTGCATCACACGGACAGATCATGTAGTTCCTACACCATCTACACGACAAAGTCCACTACATGTTTCTCTATACCAGTAAAGGACATTGTCAATAGATGTAGATGTGTGAAGGATACTGATATTACAGAAACGAACCTGTATGATGCTACATTGATTTACTGGTACTTGTAGTGACATACAACAATGTACTGGTGCTTTCCTAATACTGAAAACAGAAAACAGTGAGACCTTGTACATGCAGATGGTACAGTTCCCTGTGAAAAGGTCTGAATTAACAAATTTGCGATTTAACAAATTATGCACACTTAGAAATGCCCCTTGATAACATAAATAAGTTCAGTTATCACCCTAGTCTGCCTCCTAGAAACTAAAGAATAAATAAAGAATCCATCTCAAGTCTAGAATTTGGCAAGTCTCAGCTGTAATTAAGCATTGTTGTAGCCTACATTTGGATTATATTTTGCATTTTGTAGACATATATTCCACTGTGATGCCAATATCACTCCACCTCTGGATAAATATACTGCAGGCAACATAATAAGCACAGGAGGTGTTTTACTAAGTCCGAAGCTGAGGTGAGGTGAGATGAGGTGAAATTGGGTTTAACGTCGCGTCCAAGATTATTGCACTTATATAGCGACGTGCATGCACATGTGTGTGTGTGGCTGCTTGTACTAGACCGGAGAGATGCTGATTTATAGTGCTAGCTCACTGAGATATCATGCTGCAGTTTAACATGAATACGTACCCCACACAGACACAGTATACTGACTCAGAGCCGACCAGTCCTTGTTTTATCCCCTTAATGCCGAGCGCCAGACAGGGTAACAACAAGTACCATCTTTTAACGTCTTTTGGAATGTTGCGGCCGGGGATCGAAATCCGGACCTTCCGCTCTCTGGGCGGACGCTCTACCACTAGACCACGGAGGCGGTCCGAAGCTGAGGTGAGGTACAATGGGGTTAAACATCTTGTTCAAGATTATTGCACTTATATAGCAACGTCCATGCATGTGTGTGTGTGTCTCCTTGTACTAGACCAGACCCACTGAGCTACCATTCCTCAGATTCACATGGATACCTGATTCCAAGCTGATCAGTCCTTGTTTTAATCCCTTAATGCTGAGCACCAGGCAGGGTAACAACAAGTACCATCTTTTAATGTCTTTTGGTATGACACCCACCGGGATTGACCTATCCGCCTTCCGCTCTTGAGGTTGATGCTCTATCCACAAAACCCCTGAGGTGGTCCATCAAGTCAGAAGGCTAAGTGGGAGCTAAATAAGATACCTCCTGAGTGGGAACCATTTGCCGGTTATCATAATGTCAGACATATCTATGCCAAAAATATTCAGAATTACGAACAGGCTATCTTGATGACCATAATTCCATCTTTAAGTGTGTCTGTTTGTTTGTTTGTCCTTTAACACCACAAACAGCATTATTCCTGCTATATGATGGCGGTCGGTAATAATCAAGTCTGGTCAACTGACTGGTATACTGACTCTGAGCTGAATAGACCTAGTTTTATCCCCTTAAAGCCCAATGCCATGCAGGGTAACAACAAGAACCATCATTTAATACCTTATCTCATGATAAGGAGAGGAATTGAATCACAGACCTTCAGGCTCCTGGCAGACGCTCTATCAACTACACCACAGAGAGGGTCGAGTCCTAATATATAGTAAGTGAGTAAGGTTTTACGCCTCTTTTAGCACTATTTAGCAGTATCACAGGACGAGCAACTGCTGCTACGCTACCCCACTGATTCAGATACTATCAGTAGATTACAGATTGGCTACAGGAAGTCTACTGGGGATTCTGTAAATAAACAACTCAAAGATGTGCTGATACGAATTGCACTCATTTGGAGTACTGTGGACATTTCATTCTAAAACATAAAGAGCTTTTGCACTTTGTCTGTTCGGGGAGGGTCATGTAAACAATGAACAAAGACGTGGTGAGGGTTATCCGACATGTGACAAGCATTAAGGGAGGATTAATTATTTTCAGTACAATAATGCATCAAAAGCCTCTGGAACGACCCACCCCCTGTGATAAATGACTGGTCCCATAGTGAGGGTGTTAATTACACTGACTACAGTAATGACCACGCCAGTTATCAATTTCAGCTCCAAGCTCTAACAGCCCAGTAAGATATAACACACTAATAAATAATTGTATATAATACAATGACGGTGAAACTGCAGATATATGTTTGACAATTCCTAATACACAACCATTTATTTACAAAATTCTTATATGTACAAATGAATATACAAATTATTTAAACATAACGCAGCTTACAATTACAAAATAATATACAACCAAACAAGCAGCCTTTAATGAAATGAATACCTATAATCGTTTTTTTATAAGCCTTTCTAATTTTTTAATTCTACTTGATTCTGGTTCTGGTGATGATCCCTGGGCGTGTGACCCAACAGCAGTTCCCTCCCCTAGACTGGAGCTGGATCCTGCAGGGTTTCTCACTCGGTACATGTCGATCAGGTGACTCTGCTCGCTGCGACGCAGGCCCTGGGGAACAGACAGCATCATGACTCAACTCACTATCATCATCCTCTCCAGCAGGATTCTGAAGTTCTGATGAAATTAAAGTTTGTTTGTTTGTTGTTTAATGCCACGTTCAGCAATATTCCAAAAATATGACAGTGGACCAGTCAATTTCAGAGATCAATATTATGTTTTGTTTGTTTGTTCATTTGTATGTTGTTTAACGCTGAACTCCCATATTCCGGCCATATGACGGTGGTCTGTAAACAATTAGGTCTGGACCAGACAGTCCAATGATTGACATCGTGAGCATTGATCTTGGCAATTGGGACACGATGACATGCATCAACCAAGTCGGCGAGTCTGACCACCCGATCCCGTTAGTCGCCTCTTATGACAAGCATAGTGGCCTCTCATAACAAGCATGGGTTGCTGATAACCTATTCAAATCCGGATCTTCACGGGTGATCGATATTGCGAGCAAACATCCACGCTGCAAGGGTACGAGGACACGCTACCCACCAAGTCACCCAGCCCGCCCACCAGATCCATAAGGTTGCCTCTTACGAAAAGACCAGATTGCTGCCGACCAATCCAAATCAGAATCCCCACAGGGTGACTAAATAATAAAGCCACTCACTTATTTGAACATGTTTAGCCTCAGGTCATAACGTAAGCATATGAACTTGCTCCATTACCGGTCATTGTGTCACCAACACATTAATCAATTTTACAATAAGACCCCTTGGTTTGAGAGCCTTGTTCAGTTGTTTGTTGTTCAGTGATATGTCCCGACTCTATCAATTCAGGCATACCTTCATATCAAGAACCCTCTGAAAGTCGTTGATGTCGGAGTCTGTGAGGAGCCTGATGAAGTTGTCCACGAAGCCCTGGGGAGGGTCATGGGGGGACATCACGACCTGCAGCAGAAGTAGGCAACAGTGTTGTTTACAATAATTTGGGCAAAATCGCACGTGAAGTGACTGGTAGATCGCACCACTCACTGTTACTTACAGCAACCACGGTCAGATCACCGCTATGGACACCTTGACATGACTTTTAGTTGACAGAGAATGGATACATTTATCATAAATGCCACACTTTGACTCGTTAAAAGTCACATTTGCTGTAGTTTGACTATTATATGTCAACATAAAGTTCTTGCCAAAGCGAGCACAGGAGCCTCGACAATGACAGGTAAAATTGTTCCATATTTAAAATAAAGATAGTAAACGCTGCAACTAAAAAAACTTGATATTCGAAAACATCATTCCTTATCAAACAATAATTTCAGATACAATTCTTCTGATCACTGCATAAAAATTCTTTAAAGTTATGTTATTGGGTAACTGAATCACCGGTAGATTACGAGAATATGTGTGTACAGCTCATTGCTGTTTCCGGTATAGTTTAAGAGAAAATACACATGGTAATCTTATTCTCTGCATGTAAAACAATGCCTGGTAAAAACAGGAAATACAAGTTATACGGAAAATCAAAGTGATAATTTATATCAAATTTGTAATGACAATGTTTTTCATCAACCGTTCGTTTACCTAAATTAGCTGAAGGGGTACGAAATAATTTTTTCTGCACATAATACTCGAAAAATCTTTTGTTCCAAAATACTGAATCCCCTAGAGGGGGGTGCACATTATCCTTGGGTGCACACTGTACTCATACTATATCTTTGTCATCTGTCTTACATTAATGGAGATTATTACTGTTTATATAACACAGTCAATATCAAAGTAACATACCTTCAATATCATCTCGGCTTTTGTCATTCCCTTGACAACAATCTTTGTAAAACTGAAATGAGCGCGATAAAAACAGATGAGGGTGTGTGACATCCTTCCAGGCAACACTGCAATCTTGTCACTCAAAACACAAAGGATGAGGCTTACACATAAGATCAACTCATCAAACATCAAAACTGTCACCTCCCTTGCTCAGTTACCGCATACCAGGAAGAATGAGGGGTGTCCAACACTGTCAGACAGCTGTACAGAGAGTTGTATCTTACCTGACAGTGTGTTTTGTGTTTGTATTTCACCCAGATGGGTGGTTCCTGTCTGTATTGCAGCTATAGGGGTGTTTAGTGTTTGTATTGCATCCAGAGGGTTGCTTAGTGTCTGTATTGCACCTAGAGGGATGCCTAGTATTTGTATTTCACCTAGAGGGGTACATGAAGTCTGTATTTCACCTAGAGTGGTGGGTAATTTTTGTATTTCACCCAGAGCGGTGCTTAGAATTTGTATTTCATCTGGAGGTGTGCTTAGTTTCTGTATTTCAACCAGAGGGATGCTTAGTGTCTGTATTTCACCCAGAGGGATGCTTAGTGTTTGTATTCCACCTAGAGGGTTGCTTAGTGTCTGTATTGCTCCTACACGGGTGCTTAGTATTTGTATTTCATCCAGAGGGATGCTTAGTGTCTGTATTCCACAAAGAGGTGTGCTTAGTGTCTGTATTTCAAATTAGTGTCTCACCTGGCGGGGGCCTTCCGGTTGAGCTGGGAGCCGAGAGAGGGGAGGTCCAGCAGCACGGTCTTCAGGCTGTGAGTGTCCAGAAGCAGCTGTACAACAAATACACAAATCTTACAAACCAGTACATCTTCTCCCCACCCTGACTTGTGTGGGACACAAGAGGACCAGTACATCTTCTCCCCACCCTGACTTGTGTGGGAGACAAGAGGACCAGTACATCTTCTCCCAACCCTGACTTGTGTGGGACACAAGAGGAATGTGCTACTTTCCCTTGTGAGTCATGTGAACACGTGTCAGGTAACTTAGTAAAAGCCAGCATTAATGCTTGTAATAGATGTTTAACATATTAGTGAAATCATCATAGACTGGCCACCTGATCCATGATCAGATCTTACGACAATCATAGGTTGATCGAGACCTACTGAACCCAGAACTCCACGGGGCTGTGGGAATTTAGAGGCAAAATTGAAATAAATGCAGTTGGTTGAACATTTGTGGGGATCAAGATGTTTGTATACTCCTCACCTGTTCTGCTGACTTTACATTGACACAGCTGGTCAATAAACAGTATAAATACGTGTACTCCTCACCTGTTCTGCTGAGTTTACATTGACACAGCTGGTCAATAAACAGAATAACGTGTACTCCTCACCTGTTCTGCTGAGTTTACATCAACACAGCTGGTCAATAAACAGAATAACGTGTACTCCTCACCTGTTCTGCTGAGTTTACATCAACACAGCTGGTCAATAAACAGAATAACGTGTACTCCTCACCTGTTCTGCTGAGTTTACATCAACACAGCTGGTCAATAAACAGAATAACGTGTACTCCTCACCTGTTCTGCTGAGTTTACATCAACACAGCTGGTCAATAAACAGAATAACGTGTACGGTACTCCTCACCTGTTCTGCTGCCACGGTGCTGCTGGGTTTACACCTACACAGCTGGTTGATGAACTTTGGTATGAAGGAGCTGTAATAGAAACACATGAAATGTTTGATGAAGTGTCTTGTATCTACAGTTTGTCTTGTTTATTGTTGGCACAGCAATATTTCAGCAACATAATGGCAGCCTGTACAAAATCGTCTCTGGGACAGATAATCCTGTGATTAATATTATGAGCAACGATCCATGTTGTCGGGGTACGATGACATACCATCAGCCAAGTCGCTGAGTCGGACCATCCAATCCATTTTTACAAACCTGTAGAGGTTATGAATTCTCTGATGAAATCCTCCTTGGGGCACTTATAGCATTTTCCTTGCTCAAGAAAATCTACATGACATAGTTGTAACCATTTTCCTTAATAAAAAATGTTACCACACAAAAAACTTCGTTTTTGTATGATATACGACCACCCTTACGGGGCCTCACCCCCAACGGCGCCTCACGCCAGGGGAAGCAACTCTCACCCAAATCACTTTCCATATGTCAAAAGCTGACGGAATGTGGGGAGGTGGGTGGCCGTGCCCCAAGGAGGATTTCATCAGAGAATTCATAACCTCTACAGGTTTGTAAAATTCTCTTTCTGATTAAATCCTCCTTGGGGCACTTATTGCATCAAGACAGACTCCCAAAGATAATCTAGGAAGTGGCATCCGTCAGCAACAGGCGTAAATAAATACATCGTATTTGATTATTCAACAGAATAAAATATTGAGTTCAATAAATGGAACCAACCTTATCGTGAGGCACCACCGTGGAAAGGCGGGGGCTAGAGGCAGGGCGTGGTCGACCATATATTATGATAAAGCCTGTTTTTGCGGCTTGTCATAAGTTGAGAACTAGAAACACCTCCCACCCCCCCACACTTTTTTTGAACAAGTGATATAAGGGCGTAGATCACGAGAGACCATAACCAGCGCTGAGCTAGGCCAGAGGGTCCCCGAGGATCGAAGGAGTGCGTGCGCAAAATACGAGTATTATCGAGTAGTAAGGACTGATATTTATCGACCGCAGAAGATAAAATCCGGACCATTACTGAGCAGTATAACCGGAAGACTGTCTAAAATCTCGAATGCTCAATCAGCTAGAGATTAGAACTTTGCCCAGTTCGGAGAACTGACTGACCAAACCGAGTACGCTCGCTTGAGTGTTTGTCGAGTTGGTAAGGTTTGATGAATCGTGCTCGGCTGGCTCCAAATAGCCGCGGAGCAGATCTGCTCAATGGGCAGAGCCGCGGCGTACGCTTTTGACGCAGCCACTGCTCTAACCTAATGAGCCTTCAACCTGGTAGGGGGGTCCCTGCCTGTAAGCGTATACGCTGTACAAATGGTTGAAACTATCCACCTCGAGATAGATTGTTTACTCGCAGGTGAGCCAACCTTCCTACCGCAGTAACAGCAAAATAGTTGGTTATCCTTACGGACACCCATATTTCTGCTGATATAGGCCTTGAGAGTCGTGCGGACATCCAAGACATGAGCATGTCTTGCAGTGGTCCCCGACGAGGAAGGCTGTGAAAGAGCAGGTAGCTCAATAGGAGCCGTTCACGTGGAATCGTGTGCGACCCTAGGACGGTAATAGTCCGGTAGACGAAAACTGACTGTCCCGGTGATATTTATCGACCCCATGGACGACAGTTATTTTGGGATCGGCTGACATAACACGAATGTCGCCTACACGTCTGCCGGACATTACCACCACAAGGAACGCCGTCTCCCAGCTCAACAGCTGAAGAGAGAGAGACGACAGATCCCGAAACGAAGGACCGGACAGCCAATCGAGAATGATTGACAAGTCCCAAGGGGGACTGATCCGCCGGACTGGCGGTCGGATCCTGTCCACACCTGCTAAAAAGCGCTGCACTAATGGGTGCGCACCCAAAAGTGCCCCGTCGACAGGGACGTGAAAAGCTGCGATAGCTGTAGAGTACCCCCGGACTGTTGATGTGGCCAGGCCGTCATCTAGTCGCGACTGGAGAAACTCAAGCACGGATACGAGATCTGCAGAAAAAAGATCTGCAATCCCTCTATCGACACACCAGGGCGCATAGCAGGCCTATCTATCATACTGAACGTTTGTCGAATCCCTCCGCGAAGCCAGTATTGTGTCTGCAACTCGTGCAGGAATACCGCTCTTCTGGAGGCGATTCCTGACAGTGGCCAAGCCACCCATTGAATCCTGAGATTCGGGTGGAGGGCCCCGTTCTGGGATAGGAGGTCCGGTCGTAAAGGTAATATAACAGGAGGCTGAGCCAGAAACCTGAGTATTACTGGAAACCCACTCTGCGCCGACTAAAGAGGTGCCAGGAGCACAATTAGTCGCGCAGGCTGAGTGCCTAGCTGAGACAGGACCTTGGAAATCAGAGGTACTGGGGAGAATGCCCACAGAACTGTCCGTCCAATCTAGCTGAAAGGCGTCCGGTGCCACCGACCTCGGGTCGTGGACTCGGGAGCAGAACGTTGGTGTCTGGTTATTTAACCCAGACGCAAACAGATCCACCTGTAACGACCTGTATAACAGGGAGAAAATCCCGAATATCCCCGGGTCGAGCCTCCACTCGTGAGGAGCGAGGATCCGGCAAGACAGAGCGTCCGCACGGACGTTGTCCACCCCCGGGAGATAAACAGGTAGCACCCTGATATCGTGAGAGTCGCACTATAGTATGAACTGCCACGTCTTTCGTCGAAGCGACAGAGACGCCGTTCCCCCCTGCTTCCGGATGTAAGTCATCGCCGTTTGGTTGTCCATCTAGACGAACCACTTGGCCACGAAGCAGATCCGGGAAGCGTTGGAACACCAACCTGACCGCTCTCAGTTCTAGCACATTGATATGCAGTTTGATCTCCTGCTGGGACCATAGTCCCGAGGCAGTGTGATCATTCAGAACGCCTCCCCAGCCGGAGAGTGACGCGTCTGTTTGAACTGCGAGAGACGGAACGGGAGTGATTCCCGACCTCGGTCCACCACTGGAGGTGTGTAATGAGCCACTACGGAGTCTCGAGCACAGTCTCGAGATCTTCCGAGTTCGCCCAAAGTCGACGGAGTGCTTGTTGAATGGGACTCATTCTCAAGCGCGCCCGCCAGACCAAATCCACTGTCGCCGCCATGTTGTCCAGTAACTGGAGCCATGTACGAGCAGTGTGACTTGCGCTTAAGGGACTTGATATCTTGTGACAGAGATACACGTCCTCTCACCGTGTTGAAATTGGCCACTAGGAAGACTAGATTCTGAGTGGGGCTCAGATCTGACTTCTTGAGATTGACCATCCACCCTAGAGTGATCAGAATATCTATCACTTGTTGTGTAGCTATCTGACTCAGGGATTGCAATAGAGCTCTTAGTAACCAGTCGTGGAGGTACGGATGGCAGAACCGACCTTTTGACCTGGCCACTTGGGCGGGAATCAACATCAGCTTGGTGAACACCCTCGGGGCCGTGGAGATCCCGAATGGTAGAACCCTGAACTGATAACACCTCCCGTCGAAAGAAAACCTCAGGTATTTCTTGAACTCGGGGTGTATTGGTATGTGGAGATAGGCGTATTTTAAGTCTATTGACGTTAGCCATTCTCCTGTCTCGACAGCTGAGATCACTGTTTGGTGACTAGGGAATAAGTCGAGTAGAAGCCCTCGCTTTCCTGTCCCTCAGGACCAGGTTCGATCGCAGCTTTCATAAGAAGTGCGTCGACCTCAGCACGGAGGAATTCCGCCTTCTCTCGGGTAGCAGGCACCGGAGTGTGCTTTATCCCGGAAAAGTGGAGGAGCGGATGAGTTTTCCACCGAGGCAAATGGCCATCCCTTAAAATGGACGGGGTCCGGGGATTGTGATGTAACTGTCTCCCATTCCTTCAGGAATAGAGCCAGTCGGCCGCCTACGGGGACATCTGGCTGGAGGCAGTGGACCCCGGCTGTCGGCAGTTCGATAACTTGCGACTGTGGGTTCACCCGGGGCTCTTCGGGCGCTAATGGGAACCCATCGTTCCCAGCCCCGCGAAAAAGCTGTTGGCCTCGACCAGCTGCCTTGCCCCGGCCCGTGCCTCTCTTGCTCCTCCCGGCGCCCTTATACCTGAAGGAAGCGGCGGCTTCCAAGCAGGTGTGGACGTCTGACCCGTGCGTTAGCGTAGGAGGGGACAATTGGAGAGGCCCGCTTACGCGGTTTTAACGCTTGGTACCTCCAACAAGGCCTTATGAGTCTTTGATGGAAGTATACAATTGAGCAGCCTCTCGGACCACCTGCTGAACCCCAGGGAAGAGGGTGGCACCCTCTTATACGGCAAAGCAAGTAGGTCTTGGCGTGTGTAAGTCGAGTATTTAGATACCGACATCTACCGCCTGCGCATGCCCATAACAGCGCACATCATCTGCGAGGCACAGCTACGAATAGCGTCCCGCGCAAGATAACTGAACTTCCGTTAGTTGCGCGGCCAACTCCGAAGAGTCGGCCGGCCCCTCTCCCGCTAACTCCCTCTGTACAGCCTACAGATACGCGGAGTGTACGGACACACGGAGCTGTTGGCATGCATTATGATATTGCTCCTCGAAGCATATGTAAGCAGCCTTCAACTCCGCACCGCACACGGGAAAGGGGGGGCAACCGCCGGCCCTGCTTGACCTAAGTCAAGTTGGGTGTCTCCGACTCTGGCATGGGCGCAGCCACCTGAGGCAGTACCTGGACAATCCTGTCCCGCACGTGTCTCTGCACCCGGCCCGAGGCCGAGTCCCGGTGCCGAGGTGCCGTAGGTTCAAGGGAACCCACCTGGCACTGGGCTAGGTATCCACTAGTGAAAGCCTTGGCCTCGGAAGAGGCGTCTGGCTCCGCTAGGGAAAATTGCGCGTCGGTAGTGCACGGGCCGGTGCCCGCCACCACTACGCTGGGGAGCGACCTCGAGCCAGAGCCGAAGCTCGGTCTCGGATCGTCCCCGAGACAAAGGGACAAAGGGAACCAACCTGGCTCCGGGCTAGGTATCCACTAGTGGAAGCCTCGGCCTCGGAAGAGGCGTCTGGCTCCGCTAGGGAAAATTGTGCGTCGGTAGTGCACGGGCCGGTGCCCTCCACCACTACGCGGCGCAGAAGCCCGGTCTGAGATCGTCCCCGAGACCAAGTGGCCTGCCTCGGCCGACGCCGGGCATATCACAAGGTCTCGAAGCCGCGTCCGGCGCCGACAACGGGGAAGGCTCGGTCCGCATCTCCTCTCGGAGCTGAGACTTTACCTCCTCCATCATCGACGCCATCTGCGACTTAAGTAACGCAGAAAAGTCTGCCAAAGACAGTGCAGAAGACAGTGCAGGAGAGAGTGCAGGAGAGGGTGCAGTGCTTACTACGGGGACCCTCGAGCCTTCCACCCCGGCCCCCGGAGAGGGAGCGGGGGAGACAATCTCGGCAGCTTTTTACCCATTTTAGATGGGGGGGGGGGGGGAGATGTCTTAGTAGATCTGATATCTACCCCCGCCTTTAATAGACCTCTTTAAAGTGGAACAAGTCAACTTGTCTCTTTTGGGGGGGGGCCCCGGGGGGTAAAGGCAATGTCCTCCGCCAGACATATTAGGCAGCGTTCGCGCCTGTCTTAGAACAACCCGTACACAGTTTGAAGGTCTTGTAAACAAGACCGTAATTTCTGAGGTGGGCGGGAAGGGTATCAACGTGTATGAGTGCGATATATAGATCGGAAAGATACGTGCATAAATTGTAAAACTAGAAGCAAAGGCGTAATGTAGAATGCGATTTGTAACGCGATACTAATAGCCAATGTCGTAGTATAATTATAACACCAAAGGGGCGTGTTACGCGCTAAGGTGTAAAACCCGTAAAAAAGGTAAGTGTAGTTTATGAATTAACACACCACCTTGGGTTTTGTAAAGGAAAAAATTGTAGACCAATGCTGTATGATATAACAAAACCCCAAGCCGTTTCTTAATGGCCTTGGTGTTACATGTATCAGCCCGTGGAACTACAATATGGACGCCATTACGGCCATTTGAATTCAAAGGTACCGTGCACGTGGCGTATTATTACAACTCTATAACTTCACATTGCGAGGTATTACGCCTTTGCAATGAAAGAAATGTACCATACATACAGTTTGGTCAGCCATGGTTCTTGTCGAACGATAGATTTCTCTTATTTTTGTCTTGTGTGAAAAATCAACACGTCTGTCTCTTACAGATGACATAAGGAAAGTGATTTGGGTGAGAGTTGCTTCCCCTGGCGTGAGGCGCCGTTGGGGGTGAGGCCCCGTAAGGGTGGTCGTATATCATACAAAAACGAAGTTTTTTGTGTGGTAACATTTTTTATTAAGGAAAATGGTTACAACTATGTCATGTAGATTTTCTTGAGCAAGGAAAATGCTATAAGTGCCCCAAGGAGGATTTAATCAGAAAGAGAATAGGATGCTGGAGACCAATTCTAACTCTGAATCCCCACAGGGTTACAAGGCTATTACATCAAGTTACGTAACTAAGTAAGTGGTAAACCTGTCCATGAGCAGACTTTCCAAACCTATAACAACTGTCACAGTACTAATTTCAAGATAAAATATCAACATGATTACATTACATCACCGTGAAGATCCGGGGTAGAATAGGTCTTCAGCAACCCTTGCTTGCCATAAAAGGCGACTATGCTTGTCGAAAGAGGCGACTAATGGGATCGGGTGGTCAGGCTGACTTGGTTGATGCATCTCATCGTATCCCAATTGTGTGGATCGATGCTCATGATGTCAATCACTGGAGTTGCGGCGTTCAACAACAAACAAACATCATGAGACATACAATGAATGCCATATTTGTGACTGTGTGACACTTACTTCGCAAACTTGACACAGAACTGAGTGAAGTACTTCCTGGAGGCTGCCAGGTTGTCCCTGATGATGGGCAGGTTGGTCTTCAGGTGGGAGGAGATGGCCGTCACGTAGCCGCTCTGGTCTCCCACAGCCTCGATGGTGGACCATGGCATCTACAAATGTATCAACATCCTAATACACAGGGCCCCATTCCACAAAGCGATCATAGTGCAATGACAGTCGTAAGTCTGTGTTAATGGATGGGAGTTACGATCACCTTTGTGCTATGACAGCTTTGTGGAACAGACACCAGGTCTACAATTACACAAGGCATGATTCCATTAGAGACCGACCCTTTAATATTAATATTCAGATATTCGGGAAGTTGGCGTGTTACTTTCTTTTTACCGCAGGAAAGATATTGTTCACTGGACATGTTGGATGTTCTGTAAAATAATGTGCTGTGGGTAAAACAGAACTGTTTGGATTGTTCTTACAGTGAAAAAAATGGCATGTCTTGAAATGCAGACTGAAAACATAATCAGTCTCAAATACAAAGCCCAGACTCCTCCTCAAACATCCCTCCCTGAATATGAAACAGCAGGACCCTAAAATGTGTTGGTGTTGATCATTCAGTCTTTAACAACTGTGAGTGAGTGAGTGAGTGAGTGAGTGAGTGAGTGAGTGAGTGAGTGAGTGAGTGATAATGCCTCTTGAAAAGTATTCCAGTTATATCACAGTGTGTCAGCTTGATGTGGGAGGAAAGCTTGCAGTGATGCAGGTATCAGAAGTTTACCACTTCTGAAACCAACGAGCACCGGTGTGATGCTGACAAACCTAGAAACATGATTGGGGCAACGACCCCACAATCATTGGTTTCTGGCATGCCCAAGTGACAGAACTCTGCACAGCCATTCATGGCCTGCTTTTACAACTGTCAGTGAAGCATACATTGCAAAGTTTTAATCCTGAAACTTTTACTAAATCCAACTTTAGAATTGAACTTTTTTGCATGTTTTTTATTAATCAGTGTTGACAAGATTTTCCGCAGGTACTCTTTCAGTGAAGACAGGTACTCATTCAGAGAGACATGATCCTGTGGACTTACCTTACTCATGGCTGTCAGCGCCGGCTCACAGGCAGTCTCCAGGTCCTGCACCAGCAGCTGGATGCAGTTGGATATAACACTGAAACATGATGTCTGGATATAACACTGAAACATGATGTCTGGATATAACACTGAAACATGATGTTTGGATATAACACTGAAACATGATGTCTGGATATAACACTGAAACACAATGTCTGGATATAACACTGAAAAATGATGTCTGGATATAACACTGAAACACAATGTCTGGATATAACACTGAAACATGATGTCTGGATATAACACTGAAACATGATGTTTGGATATAACACTGAAACACAATGTCTGGATATAACACTGAAACATGATGTCTGGATATAACACTGAAACATGTCTGGATATAACACTGAAACATGATGTCTGGATATAACACTGAAACACGCTGTCTGGATATAACACTGAAACACAATGTCTGGATATAACACTGAAACATGATGTCTGGATATAACACTGAAAACCGATGTCTGGATATAACACTGAAACATGATGTCTGGATATAACACTGAAACACGATGTCTGGATATAACACTGAACACGATGTTTACACACTGAAACATAAGGTCTAGATTTAGCATTAAAACAAAATATCTGTAAACAACATAGACATACAACATCTGAAATCAGGATATAATGCTAATAGACATATGTGAATACTATGTCACATATTTGTCTACACCGGTACTCACTTGTGAAACATATCCTGCTCTGCGTTGAGATCAATGTTTGCTGCAAGACGGTCGTCCACCTTCTCACGCAGCTTCTCCTCCAGCTGCTGCGTAGTCTCCATGCAGTACTCCGCAGTACACAGGATGCTGCACGTCCGACACTGCTCCTCCTCTGTCAGCTTCGTCACCTCCCCCTCCTTCAGGATGCTCTGGATCAGCCCTGTCGCCGAGCTGATGCTGCTGCTCTGACTGCTCAGCCTGAATCACAGGAGGGAGTTGTTGGTATTCATAATAACAATATGGCGCAAGAAATCATTTATATCTACTGTGCACTCAATTTTCATTCTCAGCTTCAGCTCCCTGGGGAGAATACAAGCCAAGGTGCCCGTGAGACAGTCAAATTACCATCTCAACCTACCGGGTACCAATTCCAAGATTCATACAGATATCAATACACAATAATTCAAGGCCTTTTCAAGGCTTTTAACTGTCATTTCCAAGGGTTGCTTTTTGTTGCATTATTGTCCTTAGTCGGTTAATATCAGCTTACTATAAACTAGTCTTAAGACCTAAAATACAGTATGAACATCACAAATTCAAGGCTTTTCAAGCTATATTGGTTATTTTCAAGGCTTTTAAAGGTTGACACAAAAAACCAAGATTTTTCAAGAGAGACTGTAAAATTCAAGGCCTTTTCAAACCCACAGTGAAGATACTTACTTGGGCCTGATAGTGTACAGTTGAGATACTTATTTGGGCCTGATAGCATACAGTTGAGATACTTACTTTGGCCTGAAAGCATACAGTTGAGATACTTACTTGGGCCTGATAGCATACAGTTGAGATACTTATTTGGGCCTGATAGCATACAGTTGAGATACTTACTTGGGCCTGATAGCATGCAGTTGAGATACTTACTTGGGTCTGATAGCATACAGTTGAGATACTTACTTGGGCCTGATAGCATACAGTTGAGATACTTACTTGGGCCTGATAGCATACAGTTGAGATACTTATTTGGGCCTGATAGCATGCAGTTGAGATACTTACTTGGGCCTGATAGCATACAGTTGAGATACTTATTTGGGCCTGATAGCATACAGTTGAGATACTTATTTGGGCCTGATAGAGTACAGTTGCGATGCTTACTTGGGCCTGATAGCATACTGTTGAGATACTTATTTGGGCCTGATAGCATACAGTTGAGATACTTATTTGGGCCTGATAGCATACAGTTGAGATACTTACTTGGGCCTGATAGCATACAGTTGAGAAACTTATTTGGGCCTGATAGCATACAGTTGAGATACTTATTTGGGCCTGATAGCATACAGTTGAGATACTTACTTGGGCCTGATAGCATGCAGTTGAGATACTTACTTGGGCCTGATAGCGTACAGTTGAGATACTTATTTGGGCCTGATAGCATACTGTTGAGATACTTACTTGGGCCTGATAGAGTACAGTTGAGATACTTACTTGGGCCTGATAGCATACTGTTGAGATACTTACTTGGGCCTGATAGCATACAGTTGAGATACTTATTTGGGCCTGATAGCATACAGTTGAGATACTTACTTGGGCCTGATAGCATACAGTTGAGATACTTATTTGGGCCTGATAGCATACAGTTGAGATACTTACTTGGGCCTGATAGCATGCAGTTGAGATACTTACTTTGGCCTGATAGCGTACTGTTGAGATACTTACTTGGGCCTGATAGAGTACAGTTGAGATACTTACTTGGGCCTGATAGCATACTGTTGAGATACTTACTTGGGCCTGATAGCATACAGTTGAGATACTTATTTGGGCCTGATAGCATACTGTTGAGATACTTACTTGGGCCTGATAGCATACAGTTGAGATACTTATTTGGGCCTGATAGCATACAGTTGAGATACTTACTTGGGCCTGATAGCATGCAGTTGAGATACTTACTTGGGCCTGATAGCGTACAGTTGAGATACTTATATGGGCCTGATAGCGTACTGTTGAGATACTTACTTGGGCCTGATAGAGTACAGTTGAGATACTTACTTGGGCCTGATAGCATACTGTTGAGATACTTATTTGGGCCTGATAGCATACTGTTGAGATACTTATTTTGGCCTGATAGCATACAGTTGAGATACTTACTTGGGCTTGATAGCGTACAGTTGAGATACTTACTTGGGCCTGATAGCATACAGTTGAGATACTTATTTGGGCCTGATAGCGTACAGTTGAGATACTTATTTGGGCCTGATAGCGTACTGTTGAGATACTTACTTGGGCCTGATAGCATGCAGTTGAGATACTTACTTGGGCCTGATAGCGTACAGTTGAGATACTTATTTGGGCCTGATAGCGTACTGTTGAGATACTTACTTGGGCCTGATAGCATACAGTTGAGATACTTACTTGGGCCTGATAGCATACAGTTGAGATACATATTTGGGCCTGATAGCATACAGTTGAGATACTTACTTGGGCCTAATAGCGTACAGTTGAGATACTTACTTGGGCCTGATAGCATACAGTTGAGATACTTATTTGGGCCTGATAGCGTACAGTTGAGATACTTATTTGGGCCTGATAGCGTACTGTTGAGATACTTACTTGGGCCTGATAGCATACAGTTAAGGTACTTATTTGGGCCTGATAGCATACAGTTGAGATACTTACTTGGGCCTGATAGCGTACAGTTGAGATACTTATTTGGGCCTGATAGCATACAGTTGAGATACTTATTTGGGCCTGATGGCATACAGTTGAGATACTTACTTGGGCCTGATAGAGTACAGTTGAGATACTTATTTGGGCCTGATAGCATACTGTTGAGATACTTATTTGGGCCTGATAGCATACAGTTGAGATACTTATTTTGGCCTGATAGCATACAGTTGAGATACTTACTTGGGCCTGATAGAGTACAGTTGAGATACTTACTTGGGCCTGATAGCATACAGTTGAGATACTTATTTGGGCCTGATAGCATACAGTTGAGATACTTATTTGGGCCTGATAGCATACAGTTGAGATACTTACTTGGGCCTGATAGCATACAGTTGAGAAACTTATTTGGGCCTGATAGCATACAGTTGAGATACTGATTTGGGCCTGATAGCATACAGTTGAGATACTTACTTGGGCCTGATAGCATGCAGTTGAGATACTTACTTGGGCCTGATAGCGTACAGTTGAGATACTTATTTCGGCCTGATAGCGTACTGTTGAGATACTTACTTGGGCCTGATAGAGTACAGTTGAGATACTTACTTGGGCCTGATAGCATACTGTTGAGATACTTACTTGGGCCTGATAGCATACAGTTGAGATACTTATTTGGGCCTGATAGCATACAGTTGAGATACTTACTTGGGCCTGATAGCATACAGTTGAGATACTTATTTGGGCCTGATAGCATACAGTTGAGATACTTACTTGGGCCTGATAGCATGCAGTTGAGATACTTACTTTGGCCTGATAGCGTACTGTTGAGATACTTACTTGGGCCTGATAGAGTACAGTTGAGATACTTACTTGGGCCTGATAGCATACTGTTGAGATACTTACTTGGGCCTGATAGCATACAGTTGAGATACTTATTTGGGCCTGATAGCATACTGTTGAGATACTTACTTGGGCCTGATAGCATACAGTTGAGATACTTATTTGGGCCTGATAGCATACAGTTGAGATACTTACTTAGGCCTGATAGCATGCAGTTGAGATACTTACTTGGGCCTGATAGCGTACAGTTGAGATACTTATATGGGCCTGATAGCGTACTGTTGAGATACTTACTTGGGCCTGATAGAGTACAGTTGAGATACTTACTTGGGCCTGATAGCATACTGTTGAGATACTTATTTGGGCCTGATAGCATACAGTTGAGATACTTATTTGGGCCTGATAGCAAACAGTTGAGATACTTACTTGGGCTTGATAGCGTACAGTTGAGATACTTACTTGGGCCTGATAGCATACAGTTGAGATACTTATTTGGGCCTGATAGCGTACAGTTGAGATACTTATTTGGGCCTGATAGCGTACTGTTGAGATACTTACTTGGGCCTGATAGCATGCAGTTGAGATACTTACTTGGGCCTGATAGCATACAGTTGAGATACATATTTGGGCCTGATAGCATACAGTTTTGATACTTACTTGGGCCTAATAGCGTACAGTTGAGATACTTACTTGGGCCTGATAGCATACAGTTGAGATACTTATTTGGGCCTGATAGCATACAGTTGAGATACTTATTTGGGCCTGATAGCGTACTGTTGAGATACTTACTTGGGCCTGATAGCATACAGTTAAGGTACTTATTTGGGCCTGATAGCATACAGTTGAGATACTTACTTGGGCCTGATAGCGTACAGTTGAGATACTTATTTGGGCCTGATAGCATACAGTTGAGATACTTATTTGGGCCTGATGGCATACTGTTTAGATACTTACTTGGGCCTGATAGAGTACAGTTGAGATACTTACTTGGGCCTGATAGCATACTGTTGAGATACTTATTTGGGCCTGATAGCATACAGTTGAGATACTTATTTGGGCCTGATAGCATACAGTTGAGATACTTATTTGGGCCTGATAGCATACAGTTGAGATACTTATTTGGGCCTGATAGCATACAATTGAGATACTTATTTGGGCCTGATAGCGTACAGTTGAGATACTTACTTGGGCAGATTGTTGAGCAGGACCCTGATGGTGTACTCCTTGAGATACTTACTTGGGCAGATTGTTGAGCAGGAACCTGATGGCGTACTCCTTGAGATACTTACTTGGGCAGATTGTTGAGAAGGACCCTGATGGCGTACTCCTTTAGATACTTACTTGGGCAGATTGTTGAGCAGGACCCTGATGGCGTACTCCTTGAGATACTTCTGGAATGTTTTGGTGAGGTCTTGCATTGGTTGACCAGTGGACAACTGGGAACACTGGACCATACACTTCTTGTAGAACACGAACAGGTCTGCACAGCTGGGCAGCACGTTGCTTCCCTCGTCAGTCTCCATACGCGGTGTGCCGTGCTGTCGCAGATCCTCCAGGAAGCGCCCAATAAGCTCAGCTAGATTCCTGAATACAGTAAAATACAGATATCACAAACATTACTAGAAACATTACTTTAGGATACAAACATATGTTGCATAATTAACAGATAAATATTAGCAGATAAGTTGTTTTCAGATATTTGGGTGTGAGAGCATATTAAACGATGGGAAATTTCAGCTTGGAATATTGTAAATTTTACATTAAATTGTATATTTATCTACATATCCTATTTCACACTATCATTTTTTCCTTCTTCTTTCAATCCTATATGGAAGCACTTTTCTGTGCATCAAATATCTAATTACACCCACAAATTTGAAAAACATAATATATTATAAATGAATAAAAATAATATATTTAGGATAAATAATCAAAAACAATATGTAATGGATACAATTTTCATGTCACCATGCTGCATGCCTTGTCAAAAAAAAGTTGGTACAATGCAAAAGCAATTCAATGAGTAGTCAAATATCAGTTGACTTTGATGATTAACGCCACACTCAGCCACATCCCAGCTACATGACAACTGCTTGTAAATATCTGAGTCTGGACCAGACATCCACTGATTGACACCATGAGAAACTACCTTCGCCATCAGGGTATGTTGACACGCAATCAACCAAGTGACAATCTAACAACCCAATCCACTTAGTCGACTCGTACCTGCAAAGATCCCTTCTAGAGAGAGAGAGAGATCCGTTCTAACCCAGGAAACCAAGCAGGGCTGTTTTAAGACAACTACTTACCTGTCTTGTGATTCAATGTATATATTCAGATGAGCTTCAAAACATCGAGAGATGATTCCAGTGAAAGGAGTGGCTTGAGATTTTGCAACTGACTAAAATACAAAAGAGAGCATTTATCAAGTCAAATTTGTCACGTTAGGCTAAAAAAATAATAGTCTTGTTTCTCAAGCACTGCCCGCATCATCATAAAAAACGCCGCACATTTCATTTTTATTTCCATTTTAAAAAAAAAAATAAAAAAATCCTCATACATAAAAACAATGTGATCCAATATAGCACACAGTTACCTCCCTTTACATGCGCACTGCTTTACTGCGCATCTCGTGTTATGGTCATGGCGGCAATAGGAGTTTGTATGCTTGTAGCCCTTTCACAACTGTTTATTTGGTTACATACTAGTTTGAACAGGCCGCCCGCCTGCACTATATTTTCAAAAGTAATTGACTGAGAACCAATTCTTAAATTTTTTTAAGCCTTAGATTAAATGTTACATGTATACTCTGTATACCCAGAGGTGTGGTGAAGTCAAATGGGGCTTTGACTAGTTCGGACTAATGCCGATTTTATAGTGCTAGCCCACAGCCGACCACTTCTTGTTTTTGACCATTCATACTGACAGGGTAACAACAAGTACCATCTTTTTACGTCTTTTGGTATGACGTGGCCGGGGATCAAACCCACGACCTTCCGCTCTCCGGGCAGATGCTCTATCCACTTGACCAGGGAGACAGTCCATATGCCCTAGAGAAAAGTTAGAATCCTAATCCAAGAGAGTTATCTACCTTGGACTCTTCTCCTGACGGGGATGTGACTTCCTGATCACTCTCATTTTCAAAAGGGTTTGTTGATTCTTCAAAGGGGTTTGTTGATGGTGCTGGAGCTGGAGTGGGAGGCTTCCCCTAGGATGGAAAACTTTACCTCAGACATCTATGACAGCCCATATTCAAATCATATGATTGTTGGGAGATTAGAGTGAGTGAGTGAGTTGGATTTATAGCTGCTTTGAACAGTATTTCAGTCAAATGATGGCTTGTCAGCTTGAGATGCTAGGAGAGCCTGAAGTGATGCAGGTCATCGGGATGAAAAAAATGTTACATAAAATGGGAGGATGGTGTATGCAAAATAGGATAGTCCTAAGACTAATCTCAACCTCCCAGGCCCCTTAATAAATGAGTCCCTTGGGAGAACTTGGACCAAACTGGACCAACCTGGAACAACTTGGTACAGCTTGGAACAACTTGACAACAACTTGGAACAACTTGGATCAACTTGACAACAACTTGGAACAACTTGGAACAGCTTGGTTCAACTTGACAACTACTTGGAAATACTTGGAACAGCTTGGATCAACCTGACAACAGCTTGGGGCAACTTGGAATAGCTTGGATCAACCTGACAACAACTTGGCACAATTTGAAACAGCTTGGATCAACTTGACAACAACTTGGAACAACTTGGAACAGCTTGGTTCAACTTGACAACAACTTGGAAATACTTGGAACAGCTTGGATCAACCTGACAACAGCTTGGGACAACTTGGAATAGCTTGGATCAACCTGACAACAACTTGGAAATACTTGGAACAGCTTGGATCAACCTGACAACAGCTTGGAAATACTTGGAACAGCTTGGATCAACCTGACAACAGCTTGGGACAACTTGGAACAGCTTGGATCAACCTGACAACAACTTGGAAATACTTGGAACAGCTTGGATCAACCTGACAACAACTTGGAAATACTTGGAACAGCTTGGATCAACCTGACAACAGCTTGGAAATACTTGGAACAGCTTGGATCAACCTGACAACAACTTGGAAATACTTGGAACAGCTTGGATCAACCTGACAACAACTTGGGACAACTTGGAATAATTGGATCAACCTGACAACAACTTGGAAATACTTGGAACAGCTTGGATCAACCTGACAACAGCTTGGAAATACTTGGAACAGCTTGGATCAACCTGACAACAGCTTGGGACAACTTGGAACAGCTTGGATCAACCTGACAACAACTTGGAAATACTTGGGACAGCTTGGTTCAACTTGACAACAACTTGGAAATACTTGGAACAGCTTGGATCAACCTGACAACAACTTGGGACAACTTGAAACAGCTTGGATCAACTTGACAACAACTTGGAAATACTTGGAACAGCTTGGATCAACCTGACAACAACTTGGGATAACTTGGAATAATTGGATCAACCTGACAACAACTTGCCACAATTTGAAACAGCTTGGATCAACTTGACAACAACTTGGCACAACTTGAAACAGCTTGGATCAACTTGACAACCACAGACAAATCAGTGGAATGGTTGGAGAATAGGGAATAATTGAACAAATATGCAATTACCTGCAGCCAATACACTGGCATGTAAGTAGACAAGTGAGACTAACTAATATGTAATTATGTCAAATGGTGAACGTAATTAGAATCATACCTGTGCCTCATTCAGAGTAACGCCCATGAAACGTTTTGATATCAGAGTCTCAAAGTTGGTGGTGCGTTGTATCGCAAACAACAGCAACTTCACATCAATCTCCACCGCTCTGCGCCCCATTATACGAGATAACTCTCTCCTGAAAACAAACAACAGATTAATATGCACGCATCCGACAAAATAGACACACATACTGTCTCCATCTAAAAGCACTATTCATTGCGTAAATTTGAGACTAGATGTGTTTGGATTGAAAAATGAGCATCCCATCAAATAGTCAGCTAGTATGACAGTCTGCGATTTTAGCCACTAGTCCAAAGACCGAGTCTAGTAAAATTTCATTGGGTCTATTAAGCTTAGCTAAAACTGTCCATATAAAAACACTAAACTTAACTGAAAATCATGCTAAAAGGCAATTTTGGGCTAAAAGTCTCAACCGTTTTGGGCACAGACTGGTATGATATATATCTGGTTGTGGGGAAATTTTTTGAGGAGACAATAGCAATAGTAAAATTGACATGATTAAATCTAATGTAACACTCCTACACAGCTCTTCAAAGATGATCATCCACACACATGTGTGTTCTACAGGTCTTGGACCAGACAAACCATTGTTTGATATCATGATGAGCATGTCTCATGCCTCAGTGGTATGATGATATGCAATCAACCAAGTCAGTGAGCCTGACAACCGCATTCAATTTAGTTTTCCCCTACAACAAGCAAAAGAGTGAAATGTTTTTTTGTTTGTTGTTTAACACCGCATTCAGCAATATTCTAGCTACATGATGGCGGTCTGTAAATAATCGAGTCTGGACCAGACAATCAAGTGATTAACATCACGAGCATCAATCCATGCTGAAGACCAATTACAACTCTGATCTTCACGGGTAAAAAGGGTGAAATGAAGGACAAGTAATGTCACCTGGTTATGTCGCAGAACTCCACACAAATCCTCTCGCTGACCTCCCAATCGGGGGGAAACAAGTGACCGAACTTCTCCTCAAAGTCCACCAGGGTCCGCTTGATCCAGGCATACCGTCGGTCTATCTTGTCCAGCCACGCAACCTGACAGTGAACACAGTCATCTCAAGCAATGTCAGCAACATCTGATCACAGTCATCTCAAGCAATGTCAGCAACATCTGAACACAGTCATCTCAAGCAATGTCAGCAACATCTGAACACAGTCATCTCAAGCAATGTCAGCAACATCTGAACAGTCATCTCAAGCAATGTCAGCAACATCTGAACACAGTCAACTCAAGCAATGTCAGCAACATCTGAACACAGTCTTCTCAAGCAATGTCAGCAACATCTGAACACATTCATCTCAAGCAATGTCAGCAACATCTGAACACAGTCATCTCAAGCAATGTCAGCAACATCTGAACACAGTCATCTCAAGCAATGTCAGCAACATCTGAACACAGTCATCTCAAGCAATGTCAGCAACATCTGAACACAGTCATCTCAAGCAATGTCAGCAACATCTGAACACAGTCATCTCAAGCAATGTCAGCAACATCTGAACACAGTCATCTCAAGCAATGTCAGCAACATCTGAACACAGTCTGTGAAAAGGGTTACCTGTGAAAGGACCTAGCTATCTCCTTGTAGAAATATATACAAGTTGGACGGACGGCCAGTAAGAAATCACAAAGTCGATGTTTCGATGCAAAGTCACTTGCTTGTATGAGTTACCACATTGATGGCTGATGTGCCTTTGTAACCTGTGATCTCGTAATGATATATATCTCAATGGTGGGGTGTACTTTCAGGGGATGTGGCAGGAAAAGGACAGTAGATTAGTTAATTGATAACTGCTGATGTACATTGTTTTCGGCAAGGTGAAAGGACGTTTAAAGTCGCATCCAAGATTATTGCACTTATGTAGTGATATGCATGTATGTGGCTGCTTGTACTAGTCCAGGCTGAGATCGATTAACAATGCTAGCCCACTGAGATACCATGTGTCAGTTTAACAGGAATACCCCACTCAGAAACAGAATACTGGCTCCCAGCCGACCATTCTTTGTTTTAGCCCCTTAATGCCAAACGCCAGACAGGGTAACAACAAGTACCATCTTTTAATGTCTTTTGGTATGACGCGGCCGGGAATGGAACACAGGACCTTCTGTTCTCCCGGCGGATGCTCTATCACTAGACCACGGACACGGTCACATTGTTTTCGGATTAACGTAAATGTGGTGATACTTACATCCTGGTCCTGGGCAAACAACACAAGATACTCGGACAGCTGCAGCTTCACAAACCAGCTGAGGAGGTCCCGCTTCACCCGTGGGTCAAGGACATTGACCACATAGCACGCCTCCCTCAGCTGTTTCTGATTGCTAGGCCCATACTGAAAGAACATGGCGAAAATCTCATAAATGCAACAACCAAATATCTTTTAAGAATATTTTGGACAAAGGCATAAAATTGAGAACATAATGTTCCGACTGCAAAATGTGTTTTTTAGAGTAAAAATATCCATTACACTTCTCCTGACTCATACAAAAGCAGCTCAACCAAACGCACCCCCCGAGCCGCACAGGCTCATTGGTACCACATGACCAACTTGGTATACATGTCACTCTCTCATTCCCTTACCGAACGGTTGAAACACAGGGGAAGAGGGGATGGCTGGGTGGGGGCTATATAGCATCTTCCGGAGGCATTAAATCTTCCTTTGACATTCAATTTAGCTTAAAGTGCCCCCTTCTGTTAATTTTCTAAATGACCTGGGTGCTTAATGTGGCATATACGGTAGCTGTCTTTCACTCACTAGAATATAATACCAGTTGATGTTGATTGTTGTTTAACGCCGCACCAGACAATCCAGTGAGCATCGATCTATGCAATTGGGATACGATGACATGCATCAACCAAGTCAGCGAGCCTGACCACCTGATCGTGTTAGTCGCCTCTTATGACAAGCATAGTCGCCTGTTGCGGAAAGCATGGGATGTTGAAGACATATTCTAACTCTGATCTTTATAGGCTTATAATACCAGTGTTTAGAACATAAGAACAGTATTTCGAATATAATACCAGTGTTGAGAAATATAATTCCAGCATTTAGAATATAATACCAGTATTTAGAAATAGTATAGCAGTATTTAGAAATAGTATACCAGTATTTAGAAGTACAATACTAGCATTTAGAAGTACAATACCAGTCTTTAGAAATATAATACCAGTATTTAGAAATATAATACAAGTCGTTAGAAATATAATACCAGCTTTTAGAAATATAATACCAGTATTTAGAAATATAATACCAGTATTTAGAAATATAATACCAGCTTGTAGAAACTTAATACCAGTATTTAGAAATATAATACCAGCTTTTAGAAATATAATACCAGCTTTTAGAAATATAATACCAGCTTTTAGAAATATAATACCAGTATTTAGAAATATAATACCAGCTTTTAGAAATATAATACCAGCTTTTAGAAATATAATACCAGCTTTTAGAAATATAATACCAGTATTTAGAAATATAATACCAGTATCACAGCAATCCATGATGATGATGAAACCTACCTTGGCGCCAGCTCCCTGGAAGGCTTCTTCAAAGTCAGCAATGATCTGTGTTCCGAGTTCTGACTGAATTTGTTTCACCCTTGAAGGATAAGAGTACAATCAAAGTCTGTACACTGATCATGTTCACAACAGCGGGAACAATATCTACAGTAGAGTAACCTCTGATTATCACTGACAGGACCCACAGCATGTAGATCCAAGTGTCTCTTGTGTTACAAGGACAGCCACATGAGTAAATTTTCACCAGTCCACAGCTCAATCTGGCCTCATGGCTTATGTAACATAGCAGATTTGAGGAGAAAATAAACTAGTCCTTCAATTTGACAGCCTAGTGGCCATGTCTAAACTGGCGTTACTCTGATTCAAAACTACATTTAGTATTGTCAGTTTCACATGAAATACATAATGTACAGGTGTATAACTGACAAATAAACTTCTTCTCAATTCAAGTTCTCGAAACTGAAAATATTGTTAACCCATATGCAATGAATAAACAGCTAAAACTCTACAGGTCTACACCATTGATTAAACAGGTCACAAACTACATGTCAATCACATCAATATCAAAAAATATCAATTACCATAATCGTTTGTTTCTATTCAAATGCCACAAAGTGTAATCATGTATCAAGATAGTTATTCTGTACTAACCAGGCAAAAGAGCATTGTTGAGATGAAATGTAAAACAAATATATTGATAGTGACTGTAGCAAATACAAAAAAATGTACGCCTTATGAAAAAAACCAACTATTATCTTAACACAGACTGTACGTGTGATCAAAACTAATTCTGAAAGAGCATTTTGTTATACTTCTACACTGACAGTTCACGTCTTATCTTAGACTAAACCCAAAATAGTTTTCCACATACTGGACACTTTTTAAAGACTCAGAAACATTGGCCTGAGGATACAACTTGCAACTTACTTGTCAGCAAGCAGTTTGATCTGGGGTATGGACATGTACTTGTCGAAGTGCTCCAGCACGTTCAGTACACCCTGAAGCAGGTTGGCCACCTCTCCGTACTGACGTCTTCGTGTTAATGATCTGCCGCATGAAAACAGTACATATAAAGCCTTTAAATCTCAGCTTTACTTCATTTACAGGAGCATGCCATATTATGAACATCGCCTAAAAGCAATATGTCTAATAGTTTCTGAGAAGAAAAGGTTGGCACGAAGGCCGAGTCTTTTATGAAAATGAGTCCTGCAGCAGACATTTTGAATTTTTCAAAAGGAAAATTCACTTTCGACATGTGGAAATTTATTTAAAGACAACATTGATATGTTCAGTAGATTTTGGAGGAGAGATTAAGGTTAAGTGGACGGATGACGGACAAAAGACAACAACGCTCATTGATGCTGTCAACAAACCGAAAGGTTTCTGAGCAGAATGACATTCTTTTTCACCAATACGCCTACTACGTTCCCCACCATCTGTGAATAAATATGTCCATATGCCATGTAGTAGTGATGCCAGGTAGTGTCAGTCACGAAAAACTCACTCAGGTCAGATCATCCCAACTCTGAGCAAGAATTTGGCCTAATATTGAAGCAATGTGTAGAGAAGATGGTCGCAAGTCTGAGGCACGCTTCGCAAGAAATATTGGTGTTTGTGCACTGTAATCTGAGCACTCATTGGTCTAAGCACTGGCTTCAAATCAATTCCAATCTGGGTGAGTATGGTACAAAGATAAGATTTCTGTGGAAATACTCTCAATTTTATATGCTTAGTTGTTCAACTCTCAAAGGCTCGAGCAATCACCAATTTTAATGCTAAAATACAAGTCATTACCTCAAACAATAATATTGCTTTTTAATGCGTTCAGCATACTCAGACCACATCAGCAATGAGACAAAAAAGTTAAAACACACATATGACTTCTGATATTATTCTTAAAATGTATTTTAAACAGGTTCTGCTGGCTGTCCAAAGGTTTTGATTTCTTTCTTTTGACAAATTCTAAGCAGTTCATTTTTTAACTGTAACCAGTACAGCATTGGCTGCTTACGTGAGTGAATCTACCCCTCCCACCAGCATGTGTAGGTGATTCAGTGTGGTGATAGAAGAGGTCAGGTGTCGCTTCGCATGGTCCAACTGTTTGATGTCTCGGGTTATCTCCTTTACCTGTAACCATGGTAACCATATAATGATTCTGAGTATCAATCAGACATAATTTCTGAAAAATCATTCCACAAACTACTCCATTTCCAGTGGACTAGTAAAGTGTTATCTGGGTGGAGTTTAGTTGTTTAATGCTGCACTCAGCAATATTCCAACTGCATCACGATGGTCTGTAAACATTCGACCAGACATTCCAGTGATTGATATCACGAGCATTGATCCATGCAATTGGCATACGATGACATGCATCAACCAAGACAGTGAGCCTTACCACCCAATCCCGTTAGTTGCCTCTTACAACAAGCATAGTCGCCCCTTACGACAAGCATAGTCGTCTTTTATGACAAGCATAGTCGCCACTTACGACAAGCATGGGTTGATCAGGGTGGAGCATGGTATGTTATAATATTGTAGTTATCAGTAGTGCACATGGTGGACCAGATTTATTGAATGGTTGAACACAATACATAAATTTATATAGACATACTCAGAGGCCAATATTTGGCACCTTGTCTACAGCAAATGTCAGTAAACATGGTAAAAGTTTCCAGAATGAAATAAAAAATGCCCCAATTCATGTAATTATGTTTATAATTAGCCATGACTTGGTCGGTGTGACTTCTATTTTACTAACAACAGGACTAATAAAGAGAAAGAGCAGTGATAGAAACTAACAGTTTTAGCCTACTTGTCCCTATAATAATACCATATACCGAACCCTTAATTAAAAAGGGCAAATTTCTACTTGTCCTTATGATACCATAACTATTGTGCAGTTTGGCAAGGACTACAGGACTAGTACCAATTTCTAATGATGCAATCTAAAAAACCGACTTCAATTAATATAAAAAAGGTGAAAATTTTCTTATACTGAAGAGGCTTCCACTTTAATTCTAATTGCATAGAATGCAATGCTAAAAAATATTATCAAAATTAAGGGTGCACGTTATTATCGGTACATAGGTAAATGAGCTTCACTCTTTCTATGATCTGTACCACAATATCATTATTTAATGCTTGATATATCGGGTGATCTCAAAAAGCATCATTTTACCATGTGTTTAATGTTATACACTTGCCAAATACCCCGGTACCTGGAGCGTGCATCCATATGTATTTATTGAATGAGTAAACATCATGTTGTACCAGCATCTTGTTTTCTTCCATTTATGACCTTCAATTCATACACAGGTGTTTCAAATTGCTTCTGAATTCAAAATATAGAATTATACAATATATTGTGATATGTATTGCAATGTGGCCTTGTGCATCGTCAAATATTGTGATACACTTTAAACCTCCAATACCCTTCTCTAGTCAAAATATCTCTGAAATTAAGAAAATACGAACAAAATAAAAGTATTATCCAAATTTGCCAGCCAAGGGCGCTTATATCCTAAATAAATTCCTGCTGAAGTTATTAATATTGGACATTAAGGAACACATGTATCGATTGCCTTCAGCAGATCGATAATCGATATAACTTTCCAGATCTACCGTTTGACCGATTATTCAATCAATCGCCCCTGCACTATAAGACAAACAACATTTTTACTAGACTCTGCTTACAACTCATGGCTATAGTTACAGCGTTCCACCACAAGTTAATTTGCATACACGTCAATACAGGAGTGGCTGATGACCAACTGACCATTTCCTCCGACTTCTCGGCCTTGTCTTTGATATCCTTGATCTTGGTGAACAGATCTTGGATAGCCTTCTGTGCTTCTTCCAAGGCCTGTCTACCTTCTTCACCCACATTTGTCTGCCCCCGAACCACTGCCCGCACTTCATCATCAAGGCGTCTGTAATTTGCAAAAGTCTCCTTACTCATCAGTCAGTCATTGTCCCCTTACCATTATTCTAATTAATGAAATGCATTTATTCAGTAAAGGTGCCACTGGCCCATTACACAAAGCACATATCACATTGAATTGCATTGGAGCACCGTAACAGTGCATGCACGAGAGTTGAACTTTCGTTGTTTTTTAAATGCTTATATATATTTAGCTAGATAGTTTATTTCAATTGGATATGATGATGTACATAGTCTTATCAATTTATTTTGTGATGGATTCTCATAGAAGTAGCATTTGAGAACATATTCCCTTAAGCTTTGATAAAAAGGACATTCCTAAAAAATTAAAGGTACTCCCTTTCCGTCACAGGGACAATGCAAAAGGACACAGCCTTTCAATCCGAGAAAGATTTGTTTGCCTACCCAATTTGATCACAAGAGTGTGAATTGAGTACTGAAATTGACATGAAGTGATGCGATAAAATATGTTTCATAGGTAACACCAACTTTAACTATGCTATAGAAATCCAACTTTGGATATGAGAATACTTTATTACACCATGCTTGATTGTCAACAACGTAACTTAACAAAGATCTAGGGGGTCGCTAAAGTAAGATGCCAAACGCCTCAAAGACACTTGGATCAACTTTCAAATTTTATTTACTGTTATTACATTCTTACTGTTAATTCTTGGTCTATAGTATACCTGTATACTGTCCTACTCTTAAAACATCCTTCAATTGGTGAAGTTGGTTGGTTGGTTGGTTTGTTGTTTAACACCGCACTCAACAATATTCCAGCTATATGATGGCAGTCTGTAAATAATCAAGTCTGGACCAGACAATCCAGTGATTAATATCATGAGCATCGATCCATGCAATTGGGATCGATGACATGCATCAACCAAGTCAGCGAGCCTGACAACCCGATCCCATTAGTCGCCTTTTACGGCAAGCATAGTCACCTTTTACGGCAAGCATGGGTTGCTGAAGACCTATTCTACCCTGGATCTTCACGGGCCCAATTGGTGAAGTGGTGAAATGGGGTTGAGTGTCGGGCTCAAGACTATTGCACTTATATAGCGATGTGAGGGCATGCATGCATGTGTGTGCTTGTTTGTACTAGATCGGACTTACGCCGATTTTACAGTGCTTGCCCACTGAGACACCTTGCCACAGTTTAACATGAATACCCCACTCAGACACAGTATACTGACTCTGAGCTGAGCAGTCCTTGTTTTAGCCCCTTAATGCTGAGTGCCAGGCAGGGTAACAACAGGTACCATATTTGACATCTTTTGGTATGACACGGCTGGGATCGATCCCACAACCTTCCGCTTTCCTGGCAGATGCTCTATCCCGTAGACCAGAGATGGCTGATGAAGAAGTGGTATAATCAAGATTTAAAAAGAGTTTATCAATATGCCTGTCTAGTAAACCATGATACCAGTATTCTAAAGCGGAACAAACCTTATTTTGAACCTAATTTTATTGACAACATCATCTATGTTTGCCAGAGACTGTTCAGTAGGAAACAGTGAGTTGATATAATCCACTGGATTGAAGTCTGGTCTGTCAAGGGGATCATTGCTTGGAAGCACCTGAAACACAAAACAGCAAGTCATGCATCAATTTGTGAAACATGTACTGTTTGACATTGAAGATCCTATAGGCTATATATAGGGGAGACCAGGGCACATTGGGACAAAATTCTATTTTTCTATATGAAGTAAGAACTTTGACCTAGTGCATGTTCATGTGAATCTTTAATACCAAACTTTTGCAAAGTGAACAAATGCAAAGTTAATCATTGAAGAATTGAAGAACTGAATTCTTCAATTTTATGTCTCAACCTTCCCCAGCTTGGGGTTAATTGGAACAAGTGGTGGCCTGATTGGGACACCTCACATGTTCCATTGATATGTGCCATAAGAAATGAAAGAAAAAAAATGCCATATTGCATCCAATGGGAACAATAATCGTATTCCAAAACCTAAGATGAAAACAATGTCATTATCCCCCGTTAAACAGAAAATGAGTGAGTGAGTTGGGGTTAACGCCGCTTTTAACAGTATTCTAGTTATATCGTGGCGTGTCAGCTTAATGTGGGAGGAAAGCCAGAAGTGATGCAGGTCTTAGATGTTTACCACTTCGGTGAAACCCACGAGCACGGGTATGGTTCTGACAAACCTAGAAACATAATCGGGGCGAACCGGGTTTCGAACCCACAATCATAGGTTTCTGGCGTGCCCAAGGGATGCAACTCTGCACAGCGAATCGCGGCGCCTTAGGCGACTTGGCCACCCGTGCCCCTGTTAAACAGAAAGAGGAGGGATGACTATTTTATGACATGACCATTATGGTTATATCATATCTTTGAACATGTCAGCATGTTTGTAAGGAAAATGCTAATACGCCTAAAGTCTATATAGGTTTGACCATTATGTGTATGCATCATTAAATAATCATCACTCCTCTTTCGGCGGATTTAACTGTAAGTGTAGTAACAGTTTAGGGCCTGGGCAAAAATGTTCTTGATTTTTTGCGAGACATTTTCAATGACTGTGTATTCTCATTTAAAGAGAGATATACTTCGATGCCATATAATTTTGCTGTAAGTGTTAGAGGGGTCTTATATCTTGTGAGTATCAGATTATCTCAACATAACACAAACATTACATCACGGCCAACCGGCACGCCCACCACGCCAAACAAGACATTACTAATTCAGAGTTATCTCCCCACTCAGGCGTAAATAATTATATATTTGTATATATAGTCCAGTCATGGGTAGGTTAGTTATATATGTTTTAATAAATCAGTAAGAAAGGACATGAGCTAACTTGATCTATAGCTTCCTGGACATCTGCTGGAAAAGACAGCAGAGACTCAAGTTGCTCGTCATCGACAATATCTTCATCGTCAACAGTCGCCATGATGAAAGTAGTGCGTCAGTGGGAGTAAGGATTTTGTTACTTTTGTCATTTCGCCATATTCCCGTATGTCAATAGTACATTCTGCCATTAACACAAATACTGTTGCTACTATCTTGTCAATATATCGCATGTTTAACATTTCATAGTAAGTATTTGTTTTTACAATATGGTTTATATTCCTACCTTAACCGGAAGTCACTTCGCAGATGTTGTGAGGCTCCCCATGTGCTTTTGATGTCAACAAACGTCAGACGATTGAGTCAGTATCCGTCTTTCCCAAACCTCTCCAGCGCAGGTTTTAGCGATAATACATACATAATTTCACTATTCTTCACTTCATATTATATCATGCACCAGCTGAGGTGGTGGTTTCTTCGCAAAATAACCATAAGTATAATTCTTCAATAGTACAAACTCAGAATATTGTTTGTTTGTTACGGGTTTGTAAATTTGCACTTTCGTAATCATTTATACAACATCAATGTCCATATATTAAGCTTACATTTCTTTACTACTAATTGTATACACTCATCATGCAAATTTACCATAGAACATTAACTGCGCTCACTTTAAGCTAACGTAAACACTACAAACTCAAATATTGTATCACAATAAAAACAGTGAAAGGCGTCCTAATTTGGATAAAAGTTTATTCATGTTTTCACAACATGGTCAATACAGAAATCAAAATAGTCGGTTGAGATTGGTTAAACAACATATTTATTTATATATATATTTATTTTTGCAGTTTGTTTTAGTTAATACTACTTTTAAGAATGACAAACCACCACACATGTTAGTGGCATTTTTGTATCTCTTGCTTTAGAGGAAGGTAATGCTAAACTGATTCAATTTCATCAACATAATAATTGCAAACTGGCTTGTAATATCTGCCGGCCAGCAACACAATTGTTTAGAGTGCATGCTGTTAACATAGATCTCTGTTCTGCATGCAAATCTTTATTAAATGCATTACAATATGTGATTGCCACAAGCTATACATGATTAAAACACGTCTCATGGATTTAATGATGCCTCTGTGGATATATATATATATATATATATATATATATATATATATATATATATATAATAGTCAACATCATTATTATCATGGCCATTGTGACTTTTTACCTCTGGCCATTATGACTTTATATAATAGTCAACATCATTATTATCATGGCCATTATGACTTTTTACCTCTGGCCATTATGACTTTTTTTGGTGGCCCCTTTGACCTTATGTTTGTAGCCATTTTGACATGTTTGTGTCCGTCTTCACTTTTGAGTTTTGAGGCCATTTAGATTACAACCCCGTTTCTTTATTACTATTTGTTAAACACTCATCATGCAAAAATACCGTACCGTATTGTACTTGCACTTTACAGGTTTCACCTATTTCGTATTAGTGGCCCATGCAGTCGTCTAATGCACCGTGATTCGCTAGGCAGAGTTGCGCCCCTTTGGCACGCCAGAAACCTATGATTGTGGGTTCGAAAATAAGAGCAATCTTATGATGTTCCACAACCAAAATTAAGTGACCCCTGAAGATACAGGGTAGAATAGGTCTTCAGCAACCCATGTTTGCCATAAGAGGCGACTATGCTTGTCGTAAGATGTGACTAAAATGCTGTTTATGCTGTGAATATGAATCTCTAATGAAAACACAAACTATAAGTCAGATATACAATAGAGCTATTCCTTGTTAAAATACCAAAAAATAACTAAAATTGCAAACTTGTACATGACCATTTGTTATATTTGCTGTATCTTATGTTTGTTGTTTAACGCCACACTCAGCAATATTCCAGCTATATGACGACTGTAAATAATCAAGTCTGGACCAGACAATCCAGTGATTGACATGTACGGAATTCGGATACGATGACATGCATCAACCAAGTCAGCGACCCTGACCACCCGATCCCGTTAGTCGCCTTTTACGAAAAGCATAGGTTAGTGAAGACCGATTCTAACCCGGATCTTCATGGGTGTTGCTATGTTTAACAAGGTGGAAAATTAAGCCATTTTAGTACCTGTTATGAGGACAAAAAATGCATACAAGTGTGGCATATTAACATACACTGAAGTTTCACAAATAATATAATGTATGGAAAGACCTGGCAAAGATGTTTTGTTGCTTGGTGAGCATATAACTTTGTTTAGAAAAGCTGCAGTGAAACAACAAAGTTACATCTTTTTGGTTTACCTTCCTTCTCTGTCCAGTGTAGAATTCTTTGGTTTTGACTTGATATCCCAAATGTTAAGTAGCTAATTATTATTACATTACCGGTCAATTTTGTAAACAGCTGGTGGGACGAGGCGGGACGGGGCGATGGGGTAGCCTAATTAAAGTTAAAGTGTTCGCTCGTCACGCGGAAGCGCCGAGTTCGATTCCCCACATGGTTACAATATGTAAAGCCCATTTCTGGTGTCCCCCCGCCGTGATATGGCGTCAATTGGGACTGTAGGATGTAACACGCCCAAGAAATATAGAAAAATAGAAGTCTTTCAGACCAAAAATTGTAATGATAATTTCACTGTCCGAAAGGCCTTTTTATGGAAAATACCTAAGAACAAATTATCAGTAACTAATTGGATGATTTTGCGTTGCGCCGGTGTCACGAAATATATTCGCCCCCAGAATAAACTCCCCCCCCCCCCCCCCCCCCCCCCCCCTCGGCGAATTTATACCGGTACAGTTCCGCCCCTCTCGAAATAAACTCTCCCCCACCCTACGAAATAAAATCTCCCCCCCCCCCAGAATATTTCCTCCCCCGGTCGTTTTATAAATACTTGCCATGCAGTTCAATAGTTGCCAAACACTTCTGATAGAGACGATGGGCTTCACTTTGAGCACTGTGTTTTCTTTAACTACCGCAATATGAGACAATAAAGTGGTATATAGGTAGATATAATACTAGTCGTTAGATATAAAGTATGTTTAAAGTAACTTTAGAAGTTCTAGGACAGTTATTAACACCTTTCGTGTCAGCCCTATGACATTCGCGATTGTCCACTTCCAGAAAACATCCTGTGTTGGTTTAACATGAATTAGTAAAGGTTAATTAGGGATGCCGAACACGTTAATTAATGAAAGACGAGTAGTCAAAACACTGTCATTTTCTGCCCAGGACATCACACCCCTACAGGCTAAGGTCGGTGAGAAACATTCTCATCAAAGAAAACACACAGTCAAGACTGTAGATTCCCGTCGTCTAGCTACAAATCCTGTGATGTATTAAAGGTTGAAGAATTTTGAACTGAACTGTCCGAAAGTTTATATCTAAAATTTTGGAATTGGATACAGTGATAAAGTCTTATATCAATATGTAGACTCATTTCTTTATTCATGTACATGTGTAGGCCAGCGGCCCATGGTACAATATTTGGTCATCATTGACAGTTATATGCTTTGTGTTTGGAGTCTAACATTCATAGCATGGTATATAAAAGTTGCAACATTTCTAATAACAGTTTCATTGTTTACCGCCATAAGCATATTGAATTTAGCAAGAGTAGAACGTACAAAATACTTCTGTGGTAAATACTGAAGACGAAGTTCATCATAAGCGTTACAAATTAATAAAAAATGATATTCATTCTCGACATATCTTTGGTTGCAACTATTGCACAATCTCTGCTCTCGTGGAGTATTAACGTATCTACCAGTCTCAATGTGGAGAGTGTGGGAGCTACAGTGAAACTGGGCTAGTGCAACACGAAATTTGTTGATAGTGATAGCAGACAAATACAACTCTAGACTAAATGAATTTTTGAAAAGTGTATAATGGAACATTTTAGAACTATTTGCTAAAGACCAATGCCAATCCTGTTCGTAAGCAAATTTTAACCGATCTTCACATTCGGAAATAAATGATTCGGGGCAAATAACATATTGGTTCTCCCATATATATCCAAATCCAAGGCTGTATAAAAGAGTTTTGACTTTTGTAGCCCAATTTGTTTTACCATGTGTGGCTAGCTGAAATAACATATCATAACTTTTCTTAGGATATCGTGAATTTGGGAGGGACATAAGTTTACACCAATATTTTATACAGCGTTTATACGCAGAAATGTACAGTGGGTATCTTCCACACTCTCCTCGCACAACATGATTGGGAGTAGACGTTTTAACACCTAGCAGACGTTTACAAGCAAGTACATGGATACTTTCTATTTCTTTACAGTTTTCAAAACTCCACATTTCAGCCCCATATAACATAATTGGAGCAATTTTAGTGTCTAATATTTAAAAAAATAGTTTCAGTGGAATAGGTTTAAGTGATGAAAGGGATTTTAGAACCGAGAACAATACCCGTTTAGCCTATAATGAAGCATTGTAAGTATGTTTCGACCATGACATATTCTTTGAAAATACAACTCCCAAATATTTGTACGATGATACCCATTCCAACTGACAACCACTGAAATACCATTTCTCAGATCTAGAAAGTACTCCACCATTTTTAAAAACTACTATTTTCGATTTATCAAGATTTACCTTTAGGAAATAATTCTGGTAGACTCATAAATATTGGTTTTATGTTTCAACGGAGATATGATATTTTCTTATGAAATATCGCGTGTTAGTGTAATTTGCATGCTTTACCATTCATTGTACCATTCTAAACCATGCGAATGTTGTAATATCAGTCAATCAGGTGGGAAAACAGACCAATCCACGCTCTATAAAGGACTATGTCAATCATTTTGCAAGTTGAAATCACCCCTGACACTTTATGAATACTTTATGAGTTTATGGAGTCAAAATCAATGCTGATTATTCATAAACTTAATGCTTCGTACTATATGCCTGTGGTCTCTTCAGTGCTGAATAAAGATTGAAAATACATCAGTCAATCAAAGATGAAGGTAACTTTATACATCAGAGTTCTTGAGAATTAGTTCATGTTTTGTTCTTAGACTAACATTTCAACCATCGATTGTGTTCACATGTAGACTCAAACTGGTATATTAAAAAATGTATACAGACAACAACAACT